AGAAACTTGACTCTTAAAAAATATTAAATTTTAATAGTAGCATCAGAGGCGTTTAAGTGATGGTTAGAAAGTGAGAAATGCAACAAATCTCACCCTGTAGAGTCATAAAAAAAAAAAGATAAAAAGTCAGATGACTGGTTCATCATGAGTGTGCATTTTATGTACTTTCAACAGTGAAATTTGCTAACATATTTACTCTCTCCAGTCCAGGTCACCCTGGTCAAAGCCACATGTTTATGAAATATTTCGCCATCATAACATATTTCCAGTATCCCTAAAAACGGCTTCACTCTCCTATACCAACCCTTGTGATATTTGTGCCTAATCCCTAACTTAACCTCTAGACTAACTCTTCCTAGCTGGATTGTTAACATCCTCAGGCCATTGGAAATTTACTGCCTCAAGTGACATCATAGATATGACACTATACATGAAAAATGTTGTGTTTGGAGGTGGCCTAGTGTAGCAATTAGTTCAAGCCCCAGCATCCTCACTGTGTGACCTTGGAAAATTTAGCCACCTGTTGCATGCTGTAGATTCTTCAGCTGTAACCTCAAGATAGTACCAGAAGTCATCTCTCCGGCTTGTTAGGTGGTATGTAATATCCGATATAGTAAATGTTCAGCACATGTTAGCTTGAGCGATCTAGATTTCCTTTTGTGATTTAAGTTCTACTATTGAGCCCCTAGGGGCACCCACCAGGATTCTAGGAACTGTCTAATTCTGAGGGGATTTTGACAGTTCGCTTATACATCAGGTGAAGAAAATGTTTCTGGGAAGGAGCAAGAAACAGATTGCTTCTCAAGAGGATTTACTTTTGTGTGTATGGGCTTCTATGCTGAATTACTAGAAGTTTTTGTCCTTTAACAGAATAATTAAACTAAATGGAATGAGTGAAATAAGTCAATCGGAGAAGGACAAACATTATATGGTCTCATTCATTTGAGGAATATAATAATAGTGAAAGGGAATAAAGGGGAAAGGAGAAAAAATAAGTGGGAAATATCAGAAAGGGAGACAGAACATGGAAGACTCCTCACTCTGGGAAAGGAACTAGGGGTGGTGGAAGGGGAGGAGGGCGGGGGGGTGGGGGTGACTGGGTGGCGGGCACTGAGGTAGGCACTTGATGGGATGAGCACTGGGTGTTATTCTGTATGTTGGCAAATTGAACACCAATAAAAAATAAATTTATTATTAAAAAATAAAATAAATGGAATGAGACACTTTTTTTAAGATTTTATTTTTTTAAGAGAGCGAGAGAGCATGTGCACAAGCTGGGCTGGGAGGGAAAGGCAGAGGGAGGAACAAACATCCTACTGAGCAGGGAGCCTGATGCAGGGCTGGATCCCAGGACCCTGGGATCATGATCTGAGTCAAAGTCAGACACTTAACTGACTGAACCACCCAGGCAGGCATTCCTGAGCAAGATACGATTTAGAAACACAAGACCAAGTTTCTTGAAATCACTTTTCTTGTAAGAGTTTTTCTTTTTAAACAAAAGAAATAGAGCATTGTTGCATCCTTAAATGAGTGTTTTGTGATGATATGCCAGAAAAAGTACTAACCAGACTGGTCTCCAGATGGGAATTCTCATCTGACTTGGAATAAGGCTCTTAACCTTCCTGGTTTTCTCACCTGTAAAATGGAGACAGTAGTAGACTCACAGAGACACAGGGAGGTTAAACAAATAAGGAATGTGAGTGTTCTATAGACCAGAGGAGGCTACTTGTCATTATTAATATTATTTATAGTATCTACTGATTATTCAACATCTTTACAGTGATTCTCTAATGGTATTTTAGAGTAAAAGCAGGAAAATATGGATGTTCGAGTTTACTAACAGCTAAGTAGAAGGAACATTGTGTCTGGAATCTGAAAGTCTGAATTTCCTTTTGTCCTGTTACTTCCTGGCTTACCTGTCCTGTGATTTGGGGCAAATTACACTGAATCTGAGATTTTTTTCTCATCTTCAATACAGGTTGATCATGTATGCTTTTAACATCTGAAAGGATGCATTTACTAGTACTCTGTACACTGTAAACTCTGTAGTCATTCATTTACTCATCTATTTAACAAATACTTACTGAGTGCCTCCTCCACTCCAGACACTGCACCACCTGTTGGGGAAGGGTCTTGGCCTTAATAGAGGTCACAGCCAGTGGGAAAATTTACACAATAAACAAGTGGACATACAAATTAACCTATAAGAAGCATAATGATCAGTGCTACTAAGCAAAGAGCAAATGCCAAAAGAAAATAATAATGAGACCTCATTTAAATTGAGAGGTTGAGAAAGGCATCCCTGAGCAAATTATATTTAAACTAAGACCAGGAGGATAATAAGATGTCAGCCAGGCAAGCGTGGATGAGAATGGGTGGGAGGGACTTTTCAAGCAGAGAAGCCAGCTAGAATATGCAACGATTGGAAGCAGGAAATAACTTCCTGTAACAGGATAGCTGGAACACACTAAGGGGCCAAAAAATGGAGTTAAAATGGAGAGTCCTATAGACCATGTTACAGATTTTGGATTTTATTGTAAATGTAGTTGAAAGCTGTTGAGATGTTTTAAGCCAAGAAGGGGGAAGGTTAAATTTGCATTTTTCAAAGGTCAATCTGCCTGCCTGGAGGGGGACATGGAAGATGTGGAGAGCCCAACTGGGAGGCTATTATTATAGTGGTACAACAAAGAAATCATGGTAACTTAACTAGATTGGAGGCAGAGAAGATAGAGAGAGGGTGTATTTTGGAATTTGTTGGACTTGGTGGTGTCCTAGATGCAAAGCATGGAGAAGGAGGAGGTACTGAGAACAATTTCTGGGTGTCTTGTGTGAGCAGCTGTCAGATGATGACTGACCTGACAAAGCCTGAGGGAGGAGCAGGCGTAGCGGGAGAGAGGATCAAGACTTAAGTTTTGGACATTTTGGACATTGGAAGATCTAGTAGATATCCAAATGGAGGTTGCAAAAGTCACCAGGAACAGAAGTCTACCAACCATGACATTAATTCATTCAGTTATTCACCACATGTTTATTGAGGACCAACAATATTTCTGATTCTATACTAAGTGCTGGAGATTTTGAAAAAAAAAAGAAGTGATCCAAATGGCTCTGATATTATGGAGCTTATTCTATTTTAGCAGGTGGTAATAGTTAAATAGATGAATTTCAAAATCAAAGACAATAACTTGATCTAGGGCACGACTGAGAAATTTCAAATGGGTATGTGGATTTTAATAACTTCCCAGTATGTACTGTAAAACTCCCAAATCCCCAGGGTCCTCAGCCCATAGTTGGGAACCACTGTGTTAAAAATAGCAATTTTAAACAGTTGGGTTGCATCGACTCCCCAGAAGAATGCATTATAATGGGCAACCATATAATAGTCTGTATTTATATTTATAAATATTTTTAAAGTTTGTACCATTATGATAGAAGCAAACGGTCAAAATGGGAGTTTCACAATAAAAAATTTGGATCATTATTTTACTATACCCAGGTCTAGACGTACAAAAAGCAAGGTATTATATTTATTTCAGAAGTGTGGAGGGTTTTAAGAAAGCCCCCAAATGATTAAATAAGAAAAACCAAACCCTATAAGGCAGTCCTTATATTTAGTATTGATATTTATGTGTCACTGCAGTGAGTGGAGTTGAGTTGTGATACAGATAGCAAGCTTCAGGATATCAGCATCATGATTGTAATATCTAACATTTATATCATGCTTTAGTTTACAGACCCCCACTCACATTCTTCTTTAAATCATAAAGACCGTAGTTATGAACTACAGTCTAAACTGAAGTTATTCAATTTATAGAAAGAATTAAACAAAATCTTTTTTTAAGATTTTATTTATTATTTTACAGAGAGAGAGAGAGAGTAGGAGCAGGGCCCAGAGGACAAGCAGACTCCCCACTGAGCCAGAAGCCCAATATGGGGCTCCATCTTAGGACCCTGGGACCATGACCTCAGCCAAAGGCAGATGCTTAACTGACTGAGCCACTCATGTGCCCCAACAAAATCTTATAAGATTCTGGCCTCGTATAAAAAATTGTTTCCTGGGAATGAAGATTGTCACACTGGGATGATTTACTTGGGAATGTCTCTGATTCACCTTCTCTAGGAATCCTTAATAATAGCATAGACTCATTAGATCGATTTGCCTCATTCATCGCTCACAATGAGAAATGGCATGATATATATGGAAATAAGTCCAAGCTCTTCCCCTCACAGGTGTAGAAGAAAAAGCACAGGTGTTAGAGTCCAACAAGCTTGGTTAGAGTTTTAACTGCATCTCCTGCTAGCTGTGTGTATCCATGAGCAACTTACTTGACAGCTCTAAGTTTCTTTATCATCATAGGGACCTTGGGAGGTATGAAGGGATAACATGAAGTTTGCAGATTACTTAGTAAACAGTTGTCCCCTTCCCCCCATGCCTTTCTCCGAGACCTCCATATCCTTTCCTCAAGTTCTAAAATTGCAACTTCTGAGAATACGGGACCACAGATGAAATTAAAGCTGAATTTAAGACTCATCTTTCCTTAGGCCCATCACACTAGTCTAAAATTGCAGCATATGTAAGTCTAAAACAAATTAAGCCAGTTGAGAATCATGGATCATCTTTTTTATAGTTGACCAGATGACACCAAGAGAAATGTCAGATTAATCTCTATCATTTATAATATGAATTAAATTTACATATGCAGCATGCAATAGAGGTTTTTAAATACCAGGACAGGGGTATAATACTAAGATGAGAAGATAAAATTATTATCTTATTATATATAATAAAAATATATAACTTTATATAATAATTATTATTTACTGTCACTTTAAAGGTTAAGGAAAAATTTAGGAAAAAATATTTAATTTTTATTTTCCCCTGTGATAAGGTTTATTTAACTTTGATTCCTTTAAATACTTCCTGATGTTTCAATGAGCTATTTTCTTGCTTCCCAGTGAATGGTGTGATTAACATGAATCAATCTATATCTCTTTAACAGGGACAAGTGATCCATACGTGAAGTTTAAAATTGGAGGAAAAGAAGTTTTTAGAAGTAAAATAATACACAAGAACCTCAATCCTGTGTGGGAGGAGAAAGCTTGCATTCTTGTTGAACATCTTAGGGAACCCTTGTATATAAAGGTGAGCCAGTTATGTTTTCCCCTAATGCAATGACATAAAACTCCCTGTTTAATGGTTTTCTATCATGTCTCCCTGTCTGATGAGATTTTTCACCAGAGATCAATTCTACTATGCACAACTCTAATCTTTTGATGGTGTGACGGATAGGAGACCGAGGGGAGGGGAAACTCCAGAGCATTTTTTCTTTAGGACAGTTCTATTGCCAGACATTTAGGAGGATTATGAAATCCATCTTCTGTTTGGTGCAGTTAACTGATTTAGTGCATTCTGGGAATATATAAAACAAGTCTCCATGAAATCCAGCAAGAAAGAAAGCTTACACAGAACCCAGCCTTTCTGTTCAAGACTTGTATCAGGGGATCTACTGTTAGTGGCTGCAAAAAAATATATTTTTCTTGGAAGATGAGAAGGGCAAAGATAAAAGGGGAAGGGTGGATTTCCTGTCTCTATTATATTACCAAAAATGGGGAAAAAAAAGTGTCTTCTCACTTGATGTGGTTTAAAAAAAAAAAAAAAAGAACTTAAGATCATCGAAACCCTAATTCTTTGTTTTTTTCCTGTTTTATTTTCCTATCGAACTTCCCTTTAATCCATATCTCTCCATACTTTTTTTCTGTATTTAATTCATATCTCTGCAGATACTGTTTGTGGCTCCTATGTTCTATCCATTTAGTTACCAAAACTTTCTATTTTTACCATAATAACCACATGTCCTCTCCTTTTCCCTGTATTGTCACAACTGGTACACGAACCGAAAATCTCATATAAGGACTCATTAAGCAGCCTCTAGGTATCCTCCCTCCTGTCACCTTTTCATTTATATTGCCTCCAGTTGTTTCTCTTTTCCACAGAAAGAAAAACAAATAATCAAGATTTTATTCAAATCAAAGCAGAACTGGCTGGTCCATAGATAGGGAGTTATCTCGGTGGATGTTCACAGTCAGTTACAGATCAAACTCATTATTCTACTCTTTCTTTCTCCCTACTGCACTTGACTAGTGTTAAAATAAATCATAACGGAACAGTTTGTAAGATTGATGAAAAGAGAATTTCCTAAGTACATAGTTGATAAGTTTCTAGAAGTCATTGTGAATAGATCCGTATTTGCATAAGAAATAGTCTCAAGTGGACATTGGCTAAAGAAAGTCAATTAGAAAAAAAAAAGAAAATCAATTAGATTGAATTCATGAACTATCTTTTTTTTTAAGATTTTATTTATTTATTTATTTATTTATTTATTTATTTATTTATTTATTTATGAGAGAGAGAGAGAGAGAGAAGCAGAGACATAGGCACAGAGAGAAGCAGGCTCCATGCAGGGAGCCCGATGTGGGACTCCATCCAGGACCCAGGATCATGACCTGAGCGAAAGGCAGATGCTCAACCACTGAGCCACCCAGGCGTCCCCATGAACTATTTCTTTCCCATGAACTATCTTTTAATATGTAATTCGTGATGGCTGAAGAATTATTAATGTGGGAATATTCTTTTTTTTTTTTTAATGTGGGGATATTCATAGCCAAACCTCCTCCCACCAAATGGAAGATCTTTGGGGTCAGAGAGGTTTTTCTTCCCTGCTCACCACTTGCAGAGAGAAAGAAATATCTGCATGAGAAAAGAGGAAATACCTTCATAATAAAGAACTGAGATAGAAGATGAAAAAAGAATTTTAAAAAAGTGGGACGCAAAAGAAATTTTATTTCTAGGGCAATTTGATATAGAGCAACGGCAGTCATGAGGACAATGGACAGGAGAGGAAAGCAGGTGTTAATAAGGATCGCACTGGACCATTTGGATCTTGTTTGAGGTCCTATAAGAGAAAAATCATGGAAGGAAAAGAATTTCTTTGTAATTACTTTTCTTTGTTTCACTGCAGATCCCCCAAAAGTTCTTTATTTTTTTATTTTTTTAAATAATAAATTTATTTTTTATTGGTGTTCAATTTGCCAACATACAGAATAACACCCAGTGCTTACCCCGTCAAGTGCCCCTCTCAGTGCCCGCCACCCAGTCACCCCCACCCCCCGTCCTCTCCCCTTCCACCACCCCTAGTTCGTTTCCCGGAGTTAGGAGTCTCTCATGTTCTGTTACTGTGGATCTGTTATTTTAATGGAATACTACTCTATAACAGAACCATGTGGCTCTCCAGTCTTTCTTTTTATTTAATTTTTTTAAGATTTTATTTATTTACAGAGAGAGAGAGAGAGAGAGAGAGGCAGAGACACAGGCAGAGGGAGAAGCAGGCTCCACACAGGTTGCCCAACGTGGAACTTGATCCGGGGTCTCCAGGATCAGCCCCGGACTGAAGGTGGTGCTAAACCGCTGAGGCCCACCCCCTCCTTCCCGGGCTGCTCTCCAGTCTTTAAAAGTGTTACAAAAGGAACACCTGGGTGGCTTAGCAGTTGGGTGCCTGCCATCAGCTCAAGTCATGATCCTGGGATCCGGGATGGAGTCCCATGTCAGGCTCCCTGCATGGAGCCTGCTTCTCCCTCTGCCTGTGTCTCTGCCTCTCTAACTGCGTCTCTCATGAATAAATAAATAAACCTTTGAAAAAAATAAATAAATAGATAGATAAAAGGGTTACAAAATGAATTTCCCAAAATTACATTAGATGTTGGTTAGGTCCTTTTGCTATTCTCTTGTGCTTCAGAATGAGTATTCATCTGTGTAGACCCTTACATATCAAAATGCATATTTGAAAAGGAATATCACAGCAGGTTCAAAACAAACAAAACAGAAAAAAATGGTGGCAAAAATGTTTATGTGGTTTGAGAGAGCAAGAATATGTACGCACATCTACTTTTACTGTCATGGAGACCGTGATCCTGCATGCAGGCCAAAGGCCTGGGCTAATGCCACACTAGAGGCTTAGGAGCTAGGAGAGAGACCCCAAAGGTTGTTTTTCATTTTTTGTTTGTTTACCACCTTGAGTTTTCAAAATATGACATCATATAGCCACAACTTAGCTTCCATCATACAGAAAAAAATACATAGTGGATTGTAAAATATTTGTCACTTGTATACATTTCTGCATAAGAAAAATAATTAGACAGGAATCACACTGGCCTCTCAAGTACTATGTGTACACACATAAAATGGCAATATTTTATGTACTACTTTATGCTTTTAAATATGCTTTCATATTTTTCATTTGATTTGCATTTTCTGAGAAATGCATAGGGCTTCTTTTGAGAAAAATCTCTTTTTTTTGGCTTCATTTTTTCCGTTCTTTTATGTTATCTACTTTTTGCCTAGCCTTGCACACAGAGAGGCCTAAACAAAATACATTGGTGGAAATATTTTAAGTTACTAGAATTTCATGAACATTGCATTAGTTTCATTGTCTCTATACCACCTTGTGTGATTGACTGACTTGATTTTGATATGATGCCCATGTCCCCCGTGCTAGGAGATTAATCTTGGCTGAAAGATCTCTTAGGACTAACTGATTCTGTAGTGACAGGTGATATGAAAAGGCATCCATGTACTAGGTGGTTAGAAAATATTGTCTACAACCCTCCCATCTACAGTTAAAGGAAAAAGAAGTCCATGAATACCTTGTAATCTGATTTCTATCAATGTAAGGATTACCAAGGGAAACAAAATTCAGTTCTGAGCCAAGGCTATAAAATTGCATGAAAGTTGCTGTGCTTATACCAATTCTTGCAAAAATAGATTTTTTTTGAAAAAATCTTGGAACTATCATCTTAAAAACCTAGATGCAAAATAAATAATAACATACTTTTCAATTGGTTGGAATTAAAATAGATTTTAATTTTAATGAGAATATTCCTTCAGCTCCAAATGCCTTTGCAGTAAGGGCAGGTGAAAGCAGGTCTATAGGAATGGACTTGAAATATATTTATAAGGTAGTATTGGAGGCTGGAGATTTAAATACAGTGGGTTTTTAAAAATTTTTATTTATTTATTTGACAGAGAGAGAGTGCAAGTGTGTACAAGCAAGGAGAGTGGCAGGCAGAGGACAGGGAGAAGCAGGCTCCCCGCTGAGCCAGAGCTCAAAGTGGGGCTTGGTCCCAGGACCCTGGGACCATGACCCGAGCTGAAGGCAGACACTCAACCAACTGAGCCACCCAAGTGCCCTTAAATGCAATGCTATTAACTGAGACAAGAGCTACCGAAGCTGCCACAGGATGTTCCTGCACACATCTTAGAGCATAGGGTAATTCAGCCTCCTTTTCAGTTGAATTTAATTAAATTCTCAATTTTCATTTCACTAACACTATTATCCGGTAAACACTGAACACCCAGAGTTACAGTGGAAGAGAGAGAAGTAATAGAAAGGGGAAATGTTCGTGTCAATCACTACTTGTTTGGCCTAATCTCATAGGCTAGAAATCTGGGTATTAGATGGAATGTTTTTCTAAATAGTAGAAAGTTTTGATAATTAGGAAGGTGATTCTGTTTGGAGTCAGATTATAACTTCTAAGACTGTTATTTTACCCAAACTGACAATTCCTTAAGGAACTCATATCTATCCAATCTTAAGATTTGAAATCGAAAAGTCCTTGGAGCACCTGGATGGCTTAGTTGGTTAAGCATCCAACTCTTGATTTCAATTCAGGCCAAGATCTCCGGGTGGTGAGAACAAGCCCTGTGTGGCTCCTTGCTCAATGAGGAGTCTGCTCGAAGATTCTCTCTCTCCCTCTCCTGCTACCCCTGTGCTCACACATGCTCTCTCTCTCTCCCTCTCTCTCTCAAAAAAAAAAAAAAGTCCTTAAACATGGTTCAAAACCATATTGCTGTGTTATGCAGAATTATTTCTCAGTAGGTTTTAAAGACCCTGAAAGAGTGTCATATACCAATGATCATCAACCCTGGCTGTACATCAGAATTATCTGTAAAGGCTTTTTTGAGGGGTTTTGCTTTGTGTTTATGTTTTGTTTTGCCTTGTCTTAAGGATCTAGATGTTCAAATGTCTCTTCCCTAAAGGCTTTGAGTCAGGACCTCTGAGTTAGAGTCCAATCTGTATTTTCAAAACACAGTAAGTTATTCTGATGCACTGCTTGAGTAGGGAGCCACTTTCCAAGACTTTTAAATGCAAACAGCTGAGTAATTGGATTGAAAATGTTTCTAGCCCTAAACCCACAAATTATTCCAAAGTTAGATATTTATATTATCTTGGACATTATGTCTTGTATGGTTCAGTGATATTTCCTAATTGCATGAATTAAGAACCTCAACTATTTTAGACAACAACAAAAATCAATAAAAACAAAACAAGGAGATAAAAAAAGCGTGACCATACTTGCTTTTGCTTTATAGGCAAAGAACAGATGAAGTTATTGAGTCTTGGAGATGGAATCTGTGGTCACATCCTTATCATAATAACTACCATTTCTTGAGCACCATGTTAGGTGCCAGGCCTACTTTATCTCATGTAATCCTCATAATACCTGACAAATAATTATCCTCATCCCCATTTTATAGGTGAGTGAGACTTGGAGAGACTCAGGGTTTCCTATGTCCACCCAGCAATTATGCAACATGACTTCTTTTTTTCCACTAAATATGACCAATTGCAGTGGCTACAGTTAGGTTTTCTTTGTCTTACAATGTCAACCCTATAATTTAGAGTTTGATTATTCTTGTACAAAGCTGCCTGGGACTGAAAACGAGTCATGGACATATTTGAGTAGCATCTTGTATCTTGGGTCACATTATGTGATCTGAATCCCTTTTCATATCCTATTCCCATTAAGCCTCTTTATCTAAATGCCACTCTCTCTGATTGCTCTCCTAAACATCTTCTATAATATAGATAAATATCAGTTCCTGTCACTCCCATACCCTGAGATATTTTTCTCCATGGTACTTATTACTACCTAACATGCATCTGTTTATTGTCTGTTATCCACCCCACCCCATGTGTAACCCCCAAGAAATCAGAGACTTTGTCCTGTTCACTACCATATTTCCAGAAATTATTATTTCCAGAATAATATTTGGCACATTGTAGTTGCTCACCACATATTTCTCAAGTAACTGAATGTGAATAGATATATGAATCTTTTGAATAGGCAATTGAAAACTCCCCTGAAGTCATAGCCACCTATAGGCATTTCAGTCATTTGAGCTAACAAATTCCCATTCCTGGGAGTTGAGTTTTCTGTTACTTATATCCAAAAGCATTTTAGCTGGTGTACTCCCTGATGCAATTTTTCTTGGGAGACAATTGAATCAAGATGTTAAATAAATTCATTGATTAGAATAAAACATTTGTCGTTCTAAACTCACATGAGAATGAAGAAAGGTTTTACAGAGCTGGAGCAAGTTTTATCTAATGTTACCTAAGGTTTCCACTTCTCCCAGGAAGGCTCTGTGAAAGCAAGGATCCCATCTAAATGGTTCATGATCATTTTGCAGGACTTCACTCCTGGTGGGTGCCCAAGCTGTCTTTGTTAAACTGAAATACATTCTGTTCCGAACAGAGCATCCTGCACAATAGAATCTGAATCTGACCTGTTCCAAGCCCTGAGTTTTGGGGGGCAAGTAACAAACATTTTAAGCATTGGATTCCTCATCTGAAAAATGGACACCACAACATCCTGTTCTCGGAGTAGTGTGAGACATGAATTTAAAAGTCTCCTCAATGTGTTTAACAGATAACAGTACCCAACGGATAGTAAATACTGAATAAACATTAATCAGTGTTAACTGTGCTTGTTCTTACTGCAGTGGGAGTACCTTACCCTGTTTTATCTTTTCTCTATGCTCTGTATCTCTAAAACTGCCCCCTGCAGCAATGCTCCTTCTGGAAAGTAGTTTATACACCTTGGAACCAAGTAGCATAGCTAATAATCTCATTAATGAATGGATTCTGGTGGTTCCATGCTTTCCCATGTTTATGCCCTTTCTAGGTAATAGGAGAGAACTAAAATAAGCACCTAGCATTAGGACCGTAGGAAAGACTTTTACCAGGAGAATAAAGAGAGTTCAAATACTTCATCACCAGGTTGGGTGGTCTCTACTTGACATTTCACTAGATTCACAGCTCTCCACTTCACATCTCTCTGTGTACCCCACATGTCCTCATTGATTATCACTAGAATCCCAAGATTTTAAGCCTTAGGGTGATACAGTGAGAAGAGGTTGTGTAAGAGATATTTGTTTAATTGTTAGTGTAAATTTTATGTTGTAAATTGCCCCACCACAGCCACTTGCAAATACTGACATGTCCTCTGCCTGAGATGTTGCAGTGTACTTCTCTGATACACCCCTGAACAGGTGACTAGAACCCAGAAGTGTGATTGATCAAGGAGACTATTTATTGCAGGAGCTCTGTGCTTTCTATAACAAATGTACTCCTGAAAGGTTGTAGGTAAATCAAATGATTATAAACTGAATAATTTAGAAGGTATGAGGGGAACTTATCACTAAAATAAATCCCCTTGTGGCTCTTCAAATTTAAGAATACTTTGGTAATGCAAAGTATTTATCTTTTTCTTGAAGTATCAATTTTTTTAGATAAGAAGTTTGTTTAAATCAAAGTATACTTATTCCAGGGAAAAACCAGTAATTCAGGCTGCTGTACATACTGTTCCCTCTTCTTCATGCTTTCCAACCATTGAGCACAGGTGTGCTTACCTGGGCACAGGAGTGCTAGACTATGGATTCTCTCGGCCTAATGGATTCTCATGTCCTGGAGAGTTCAATGGCCTGGTTCATCCACTCAAGAGCTGGCTTGCTTGCTTAGGCTCATTTACTGCAGAGTGCAGTACAAAGATTTCCTAGTTGAAAAGGTCAGGAAGCATAACTCCAAACTTTATCTAGTAGCATCTTCATTCTTATGACTTAAAAGTTTTCTCAGAAATGAACAAGGGGTGGTGAAAAGGGAGGTGGGTGGGGGATAGGGGTGCCTGGGTGACGGGCACTGAGGGGGGCACTTGATGGGATGAGCACTGGGTGTTATGCTCTATGTTGACAAATTGAACTCCAATAAAAAAAAAAGTTTTCCCGGATCTCTATTGTTATTTTTATTCTTTTCATATTCTGTTCTTTACAGCTTATCAACATTTGTAATTACATATCACCTGTGTACTTCCTTGTTTAATATCTGTCTCCCTCGCTAAACTGTAGGCATTGATAGTGTCAGCTTTGCCCACCACTGCTTACACAACACCTAGTATATAGTCTGGTATATAATTAATACTTAATATTAGTAGAGGGGATGAATAAGTAAGAAAATTAGTAAATTATCGGAAGTTAGCCAACTCCCATTCCCCTCGAGTTTTTTGGCCGTGACCCTAACTGATCTAGCTCCAGGTGTGTCTCCAGCCTTCTCCCACTTTCATCTTTCTCAGTCTGCTTGCACCACACTGACTTCTGGGTGTCCCTTGCATATGCTAATCATTTGCTGTTTCTTCTGCGTGGGAGTGAGCTTCCCAAATTGGCTTAATCCTTGTTATTCTGGTCTCTATGTGCATACTTCTTCCAAGAGGACTTCCTGGACTCCCTACCTAAAACAGCAGCTCCCAGCACACCCCCTTTAGACTTTGTACCCACAGCGCTCACCACTGAATTGTATATATTTGTTTGGATTCTTATGGACCCTCTCAGTTCCTAAGTGCAGGTTCCAAGAGATCAGGGTCATTGCTTTTTTATTCATCATAGTATGAATAAGACCCATGAAAGGCACGGAGAAGATACTGGATAAATAATTTTGACAGAAGGAAGACATATTCTTTCTTTTCCTTTCTGTTTGTTGCTGGTAGTTAAATTAATATTATTTCCTAGTCTTGCTTGTGATAATAAAAACTTAATTTTACTTATAACCTAATATGGTTTTATAAAATGCTTTAATAACCACACCTTAATTTCTACTTATTTGTATATTTAAAGCAATGTTTTCCCATAATATCAAAGAACTTATCTTCAATGACCTGAAAAATGCAAAAAGATTAGAATCATATTCTCATCACCAGTAACCCACTTTGGAAGACATATTTGTTGAATTTCATACCAACTTACTTTTCCTTCTAGTAATGCTAATAATATGGGGCAAGTACTCTAAGCTTATGTTCCTCAGATTTTTTAATATTTACTCTTACTTTATTTGATTTTGTTATTCATCTTCCTGAAAGTTCTATTTGATATAAAACAGCAATTTTAAGTACAAAATTAAAGGTCATTTCCTTTGCATGTTTTGTGAGACCCTAACGTTTCAAAAGAAGTAACTTAAAAATATGAAGAAGTTTCATTGTTTTTGGTGACATAGACAACCAATATTTTATAATCAAGATATCTTCATTGAAAGCTAATATTGGAATTATTTCTAATAATGCCTTGGATCTTTGGCTTTTTAGGTATTTGACTATGATTTTGGACTACAGGATGACTTTATGGGCTCAGCCTTTCTGGATCTCACACAATTGGAGTTAAACAGGTAACTTTTGAACCATTATGATTTTCTTACAGCTGGGCCTGTGTAACAAAGTGTCAGCAGATCTGGGTTCTAGTTACTGTTCTCTCATTTATTATTGTGAACCTTCATGCTACCCAGCCTTTTTCAAGTACATCCTTCTATCACCCCAGTGGAAGTAATAGCATCTTCCTTGACTATCTCATTCAACAACAACTATTCAGCAGAAAAATTCTTGGACACCGGCTTTGTCTCCCAGCACTGTGCTAAGCACCAGGAGTCTAGAGATAAAAGACACATTCCTCACTTTTCACTTGGCTGGTATGGTTGGTGTGGGACATAAAGTGAATTATCCATGTTAATCAAAATTATAAATTTAAGAATCAGGCCACTGTATAGGAAATAAAATGTGTACTTTGCTTCAAAAACAGCTACTCTCTCATCACCTGAGCCCAAGTACAATCTAATTTTGAAATCCGCTGGTAATGCTAGGTTATCAAGGAGTGCCTCAAACATGGAGGAAGATTAGTTGTATTTTCTCAGATTAGTTTATCATTGCTTGCCTGTAAAGTTATATAATTACTACTACTATTAGTCATTCCTGGTACCTAATTATGGGCTTATATTTTTTTAAATGCATTTCAACTGGGAGCTAAGAATTAATTAATACTACAGAGGGGAAAATATTTTTTAAGAGGGCTAGGCAATACTGGGATAGGTTGCAAAGGACTGTGAGATCTTTGATGGTTTTAAGATGCTTTAGTTGATTATATACTAATGTATATAATAGTGGGAAGTAAGAAAGCAGAGTAATGGGCCAGATCACTACTTTCTATTTTATTTTTTTTCTACTTTCCATTTTAAATGCAAATGAAATAGAAATAGTAGAACCTCCTTATGTATTATAGTCAGCTACATTTGAGCGCAATGACTGCTTGTTGGTCTTCCAATAGTCATTTTTGTGATAGACAGGACAAAAGATTGGTCTCCATTTCAACCTAGAGCTTGGCATGGGCTGACCTAATGCTAGAGTGTAGGTGATTGCTGGCTCCCCTACCTCACCACAGGAAAGGAGTGTCCTAGATGGTGTTTTATGTAGTCCATTATCATGAAAACTGAGCTCCAAGTACAATGGATTGTGGTGTTCTTTTAAAAAGGCCACAGTTATTTTCTCTGTAGACCTCTGCTAAAGGATATGCAAATTGCTGGATTTAATCACAGAGCATAAATTTCTCTTGTTCTCTATTAAAGATAAATCATGGATGAAAAATAACTTTAAATGGGAAAATATATATGATTAAGAAAATAAAAAAGATTATATACAAGCATTTGGTATTTATTTTGCCACGTTACTTATTTTATGTTTTTAACTATTTTCTCCTCTCGAAACCACATAAACATCAAATTATTACTTTTAAAATCACATGCTAGTAGAAACCATTACATTCTGTGTATAAATCAATAGTCTCTGGTTGCAGATAAATGGATAACAGTAGTAGCCATATAAATACTTACACTACTATATAATGCACTAAGGTTTTACTTTGAAAGAAAATAATAGATAATTGTCATAAAGCAATCGCAAATGTTCTTAAATATCATGTAATCATTATAAAAATATAATGAAGTTTTTTCTTTTAATTTTATATGAAATCATTACAGGAAAATGAACCAAATCAAACTGTAACCTCACGTAAAAACATGTATGTATGTATATTATATACATATATTTTATAAAGCTTAACATGAATTTCTTAAAATAAAAGGAACAAATTGTTACTGCCAAACCACCATGATTAATTGTAACTAAATTGATAGTGAAGCAATTTGTATCACAACTATTTTTTTAAATTTATTTATTTATGATAGTCACAGAGAGAGAGAGAGAGAGAGAGAGCCAGAGACACAGGCAGAGGGAGAAGCAGGCTCCATGCACCGGGAGCCCGATATGGGATTCAATCCCAGGTCTCCAGGATCGCGCCCTGGGCCAAAGGCAGGCGCCAAACCGCTGCGCCACCCAGGGATCCCCTGTATCACAACTATTACAACATGTGTGTAATCCATCTAATTTTCCATGTTTTAGTTAAAACCTCTGAGATCAGAAAACTGTTCATTTTTTCATAACATTATTCCTTGAAAAAAAAAACATTATTCCTTGACTTGGTAAATTAAGTATCATGTGAAAGAGTCTTATAGTATTATAACATCTTGGTAATAAAAAGTATCTGTGGTTCTTAATCCTGGTGTATGGGAAAATCACTCATGAGCTTTACAAACAACATAAATTTCCACACCCCACCCTTGATCTATAGAACCAAGGTCATATGGGTAGAATTGGGGAATATGCACTTTTTTTAAAGCTCCCCAATGGATTCTGACGTGCAGACAGGATTGAAAATTCTTACTCGAACAAGCTTTCCCCACCAAGGTCTCTCCCCAATACTAGATTCCTACTATATCATTTACTAATTGTTAAGCTCCTGGAAGATAATGATACTGTCTTTGAAACTGATGTCTGTTTTTTACCCGAAACTTAGCACAGTACGTGGTATTTCATGTGTTTAATACATGTTTTCTGAATGAAAAGAATAAATGCCTGAACAAGTAAGGGAACATCCCTAATTTGCCAACATTTAGAGATTCAAATTTGGTATCGAATATTGCCCAGTCCCTTAAGTTTATGAATGTCATGAACCCCTGTTTGTTCAACAAAATGAACCAAATCAAATTATATATAAAAATATATCTGTGTATATCGTACATGCATATATACTACAAAACTTAACATGCATTTGTTCATGTTGAAATATTTGTTTAGTTGAAATATGGGAATAAGATATTACCCATGCATTGTCAGTTGAATGTGTGTTTTGTATTATTTGTACAAGTGTGTTTGGGTAATACTGAGTAACTCATAGTCTCTTCCTCAAACTTAATTCTAAAGATTTCTAAGTATTCACCAACTCTTTTAAGTATTGATTTCCTTGTGTTTCTGTACCTAAAAAATGGTTAGGCATAGGTTTACACAGCCAAAACATATAGAAGTATTACTTTAAACCATGGAATCTGTAAAAATAGTAACATATTTTTTTAAAAATTATGTCTATGAAAAAAATTATGTCTATGATGTATGTTAGGCAAATTATATCTTATCTTTTCCTCTTTTCCCACTCATCTGTTTACTCTAAATCATGTAGTGGTCTGTAAATGACCCTCATTTACTTGTTAGTCTCAAATTTGTAGAAAATAGCTGGCTTTGCTCTCTGTGTGTTTTGAGATCATAAAGAAAGGACTTGTAGATTTCCCAATACTGTTATAGTAGTCTTGGCCTCCTGGTTCCCTAGGAAGGGTTGAGACATATGTAGTGAATCCAAGTACACCCAGTTGGTCCATAATTGATTGGATAACCTAGTACATTAATGATATTTCAATAACAACAGAAATTGTACCAGGAAAATAAAAGAAGACAAAATTGATTTTTTTCTTAAAAATGATAGCATAAAATATATGTTTAGCTTATCCATTTAACTACTGTTGATAATCTTAATATTTTTTATCACAGGCCCACAGATGTGACCCTAACACTGAAAGATCCCCATTATCCTGACCATTACCTTGGAATCATTTTGCTCTCCGTCATCCTTACCCCTAAAGAAGGAGAACACAGGGATGTGGTAAGTTCCCCCACAGCCTAGTAGGAGTGCTTTCTTGCTCTCATTTGGTGGAATGTCTTGAGCCTTCTTTGAACCCAGAGGTGATAATAAAGAGAAGCAGCGTATGAAAATCTGGCCTGTTCTTTGTTTCTGTAAGTATCCTGGGTATCACTAGTCCCTGCGTTTTATATCTTTTTCAATTCAAATTTCCTGTTCTATGCTCTCAATCAGAACCTCTTGTTGTAAATAAGGGACACATTTGCATCTTTTATTATAATTTCATTTCCCACTTTCAGACATGTTATGTTGTAGGCAAATGGTAGTATTCATTCAGGGAATACATTTGCTATTGAATGGAATATTTGGAATTCCACATTGAGGTATCCAGACTCTACTATTTTGATGGTATTGTCAGGTGTACCATAACAAAGAAAATGAGGTGAAATTATAATAGAGTTCCTGCTTTCTGGTATTTGTTTGCTGAATGATAAGTGAGTACTTTTCATCTTGATGGGCTTCCGTATTGGTGTTACCCATTTTCCAGCACTGGCTGTCTGTGCTTCCTTGCACACCATGCTGCTGTGAGAAACTGACAAGGGATACAGAGGAGCCAATTACTCCAGCATGTTGAAGTGACATTAAAAAATATCAAGTTTGAAAAAAAAAAAATCAGGTTTGACCTGCATCGGTATGCTTGCCAGCGCACTTTCTGCCACAATTGACCAAAGATTATTTATTAGATTCAGGGTGCTTTCATGTACTAGGAGCTGCTCTCACTAGTTTTGATTATAACACATTTTAGGAGTAAACATAATTTTTTAGGCAAGCCCCAATACCCGATTTCAGCAATATGTGTATTGCTGTCTTAAAATAATGCATGATTAAAGTTGGTACATGTTGTCTGCTGGAAAGGTATTACTGACATTTTTCCCTAGATTGTAGATTAAAATAGTGTATCCCAACTTCAAATTTGGAACTGTTTTAAACTCATTGAAAAAGTCAACCTTTCAACAAATATTTTTCTCTGTCCTTTTTAAAAATTAAGCAACGAGCACAGATATTCATGTGCTGTATTTACTAAGTACAATACAAGTGTCCATACTTAATTCAGTGAGGAATAAATTTATCTTCTCTAACAAGTACTACCAAATACCTACTGGGAGAACTTACTTAGCACCATAAAAAACAAACAAAACAAAACAAAAAAAACATGTAAGTGTGTATATGCATAGGCCCATGTGTACAAAAGGAAGGGTAGGTGAGGAAATTTTTTTTTTACAGAGAATATTTAGAAATAGAAGCCCATCATTTTAGAAGTCACCAATTCCAAATACATACAGTACAAGTATACAGTACAGTACAATACATCACCCCGTATAAGCCAAGGAGTATATCCTAGCTGGCTAATCCATACACAGGAATAAATTATGTGTTTGCTTATTGCTTTATCCAAATAATCCTAGTATTGAGTGAAGCCTACTGTAAGCCAGCTTCTATGTAAGACCCTTAGAATACTATAGAACTTCTATTCAGTGGAGAACTCAGGAATCGAGTAATTACTGAAGGAAATTTAAAATGACGACTGTTTTAGAGTGCTGTGAAAGAGAGGTGCATGTTGCCGTTAAAAGCAAATACAAGTGCAGTAGAATTTGTTCCACTTAGGGGGACAGGAATTCTCGAAGGAAGCCAAAAGGGACTTGAGGTGTGACTTGTGAATAGGAGTTAATAAGACAAAAAAACCAGGAGGAGAGAAGATATTTCAAGCAGAGGAAAGAGCATGTGCAAAAGCCCCATGGCCAAAGGAATCTGGCACACTCCAGGAACTGAAAAAAAGTCCTGGAGTTTAAACAAGCTGGGAATAAAGAAGAATGAGGGAGATTGTGATACATGGTGGCAGTGGAAAGGAGATACCCAGACTGTGTAGGGACTGTTGGCCATGTTAAGGTTTGTTGTCATTCTCCAAATAGCAAGGGGAAGTCTTGAGAAAGAGAAATAGGAAGTGGCATAATCATTTTTGCCTTTTGAAAATAGCTGTGTAGCTACATTGTGGAAAATAGATGGAAGGATGAGAATGGATACTTGGGGACCAATTAGGACCAATTATCTCAAAAGTCCTAGTAGAAGATGATGGAAGTTTGAATTAGGATTGCCTGAGGTAGAAATGGAAAGAAATCAGCAGGTTTACCGATAAGAGGTAAAATCAACAAAACTTAATGATAGAATCTTGTTTTCAGATTCTTTGTTATTTTAATGAAGAACAGCACTTTGTAAATGAAAATACCTAAGTGCCCTCAGTCTTATGTACCCCAAACCATCCAAACTGCCAATGCAACTTGAAATTAGAAGGATATGGCGGCTGGTATAGTTATTTGGGTGATTTGATGATGGGAGGTTCTGCTGAATTTTTGCATAAGAGGGATATTTACTAAATGCTCTCACATCAAACTGGGGTTTGAGAGATCAAATTAGGACCAAGGTGAAGCTGCTGAGTTGTTCTAAATTGCACAGAAATGAGTGTCAGCACAGGCAAAATGGTTCCCAACATTATTTAACAATTCTTGTAAAAATCTTTCAATCTCCATAGTTGCTCAAATTTATTATTTCAGCACATTCTCATTAGAAAAACACCCTTTAATAAAAGTATTACAGTGCCTGATTGCTGATCATCAGGGATTTATCAAACATGAATAGGAGGAAAACAGGTGGATTACACGAAAAAAACAGTTGCTCATTAAAAATCTTGTATTGTTCATCTTTTCTTCCTTTTCTGTTTTCCTCACTGTATCTCTCCAGCCCCATTCACCCTTAAGACAAAGAGTTCTTCCTGAAATCTTCATGCTATTTTCTTGATTCAAATCCCTTTGGCTACTTTAGCTTTCTGGAAGAAATCCTTTACTGCCAAGTATTTTTCATTCACTGCCTTACTTCATGTCCCCCACCATCAGAGTCCCAAATAGCACTGAATTCACTTTTCTGTGGCAATTGAAAAAGGATGTCTTCTCCCTTCCCATGCCAGCATTGACTTTCACCTAGCTTCTCTCTTCTTCACCAGAGAAGCAGTAGCTTAGCAAGGACTCAGGGCCTCAGAAAAGCACAACAGTTTCAGCCTATACCAGAGCCAGCTTCTGGCTGGTGACCATCCTGACCTCAGTCACCCCTGGGGAGTGGAAAGAAAGGTGTCCCTTGTGGTTTCCCTTGCTTGTCCTTGTGGATGTGATCAATAGCTGGGAGCATGGGGTTGGTTGTAGAGAAGTGAACTGATTCAAGGGCAGAGAAGGAATTATGAAAGATCCCCTACAGGAAATTCTGGTGGCATTTACAGTATCCTTGCTAATCTGATGTCCTAGATTTGAATTGGGGTTTCTAAGCACGTGCTCACAAGATGATAATTTCTAACAAAGACATAAATTTACTTTTTGTTTGTTTGTTTGCTTTGGTCTCAATGGCAGTTTTATAGCTGATTTATTAAGGTCTCTAAAACTGTCTCTAAAACAACACTAATTATGAGATTTTTGAGACTCTTAACGAGGACCATTTGTTGGCTAGTCAAGGATCAAAATCTCTTTATTGATCATCTATAAGCATTGTGCCATGTTCTATAATGTCCTCTTTATTCTTCTTCTAAGTGTTCAGTGACCTGTGTTTATTTCTCTAATTAAATGGAAACTTCTGATGAGAGACCTTAAAGCTCTCCAATAGGCACCATATGTTCCCTCACCTTAACCTCTGCCCCAGCCATACAAACTCCAGCAGAGCTCACCTTCTCTCAAGTCCAGGCTTTCTTCGCAGTCACTTGTCCTAGCTAACATACTTCACCTCATCTCCATCCTCTATCATATCACTTCTGGTAAAAAAACAAAAAAACAACAACAACAACAAAAATATATATATATATAAATTATTGCTTCTAATTACCTTTCTTTTGATGACTGCCCTCAAAGCTAGTCCAGCTTTCTGTACCAATGCATTGTTCAATGAGTTGCAGATGAATGTCTGTGAGGATTTGAAGGGATACCTCAAAGATCCAGGGAAAGGTATTTTAAGTTTTTTTTTTTTCTTTCTTCAGTATTCAAATTCCTGAGGTTGTCACAAACAATATTAAATGATCATTTAATTTCATTTTGAGTTCTTAAAATTAGTACATTAATGATAATCTGCTTAAAATTGATCTGTATTTTTTCTATGATGACATTTAATGATGACAAGGCATTAAAAGCATGTCACTGTATTTCCTCCATTTTGTAACATGTCTAGTATTAACTCCATATGTTTCCCTGGAATATATTTGAAGTTTTTTAGTTAAAAACAATTAGGAATCCAATGTATCTTTAAATTAAATTTTTATATTCCTGAAATATGTAACATATTGCTGCTGTGAAAATGATATGCCAAACTTTCACAAATTATCCAGGAACAAATCTTATTTAGAAAAATTCAGACTCAAAATGCAGCAGGCCAGATATCAGTTACTAAATGCTTCATAATTCCATTTAATATTTAGCACAATGTATAGGAAAGGAATAGAGGATGATTTTTGCATTGATCCTCACCCAGCAAAATTATAAGGGTTCTATTCTCTTTGATTATCAGGACAGAAATAATCTATTTTAAGCTTTTGGGATTTAAGACTTTAGTCCAAGAACCATGTGTTTAGACTTGTGCTTGTATTTACAAAACTTTGCTAAATATTTTATATGTGTTAAAATAGGGAATGGAAGGCATGAGTTTCAAGAGCTAGTAACAAATTCTAACAATCAAATAGGAAATAGAACATTAATGTTAAGAAAATGCTATCAAAAGTAGGAATAAATTAACTGGAAATACAGAGTACTTAGCATCACAAAGTGCTAAAGTTTCTAAAACAGTTATCTTGTGAGGTTTTTTTTTTAAACACTCTTAATACTGACAGTATATTCCATGAATAATGCAGTTGGGATGATTTCTCCTTGTGTGGATTGCCAGTTCTGGAAATCAGTAAAACTGAAGAATGAGTTGAAAATCCTATCAGCCTACTGAATCTACTAAAGCCTCTAAAACATGCAAAGTCTAATTACAGCAATTTAAGCAGTATAGTATGAGTAATAGCAAAAGTATTTCAAAATTGCTTATACTAAAATCTTCTCCATTGAGTTCATCAATGAGTCTTTAAAAAAAATCTCAGATGTGAACAGATATATAGAGACATGTATTTTTTTAAGTTTCCAGCATTGTGTGTATGAGAAACCACAATCTTCATGGGGGGTAGGGGCATGCTGATGAGTTGCATGACACAACTGTCATTTCTGTTTTGAATGCATGTCTTGTTTTTGAACCTACAAAAGTGTGTAGTGCATACATGTGTGTCCTGTATATAGTATTTTGGTCTGATAGTGTGTTTGAGTTCTTTCTGGCTCTTTTTCTAGCAGAGTTCAATCCACAGCTTTCTTCATTGGAGAATTTGTGAAATAAAAGTGAGTTAATTTGTGTTACACACTCTCTTAGATACAACCTAGACCTACAAATTGCTTGGCTAAAGCTAAAAAAATAGAAGATTGAAAGAAACATATGAATTGACCCTCATTGGCCTTTAGCAAATTTTACAAAATACCTTTTTTATGTTGATTTATTTTGCAAATTTTTCTCAATTATTTTATAGCTAACATTAAAAAAATACATCTATAAAAATTTAATGTTTTATAATATGTCTATACTATAATATCTAGCTATTCTGTGATTATTTTTATATCTTTAGTAGCCATATAATCGCCTTTAAAAATACTACAACAAAAAATAAATCTAAAAAATTGAATGAGATTGTGAAATGTCATAAAAATATAATCAATTCTATAGCTTTATCACAGACCATATTTTTCTGCTACTTCTTTCACTGGCTTCAAAGAAAGTTGAGCTGCAAATGAAGAAGTTTGACTGTCCTGTAATAATATTAGATAATGATGGTTTCAAAAACAAATTCATATGTTTCTCAGCTGAAGTTAAGATCATAGAACAAAATGTAAATCTTATTTTTCTATAATTTGCTTAATCACCTATCTTTAACATTTCCCAAACAATCTTTCTTTTGTAATATCTCACAGATAGCAAGGGTAACAGTAGTAATACTATGTTTGTTAAATTCACTTTTTTTTTTTTTTTTTACTTTTCTACTGTTTTCAGTTTTATTGAATCTAGCTTAACCCAACCATCTAAAAAGAAAAGAAAACTTGGGAGTGGAATACTTAAACCCATTATTTAGCTAGTTGGCTTGGCTCAAGAAGCAGAAATCTTGTTATAAAATCTAGGGACTACTTTCTTTCACATACACTAAAATAAACTCAAGATGGACTTAAGACCTAACTGTGAGACCTGAAACCATAAAAATCCTTGAGGAGAACACAGGCAGTGATGTCTCTAACATCAGCTGTAGCAACATTTTTCTAGATATGTCTCCTAAGGCAAGGGAAATAAAAGCAAAATTAAACTACTGGGACTACATCAAAATAAAAAAATTCTGCACAGAGAAGGAAACAATCAACAAAACTAAAAGGCAACCTATAAAATGGGAAAATATATTTGAAAATGACATATCCTATGAAGGGCTAGTATCCAAAATATATAAAGAATCCAACACCCAAAAACCAAATAATCTAATTTAAAAAATGGACAGAGACATGAACAGACATTTTTTTCAAAGAACACATCCTGGTGGCCAATGGACACATGAAAATATGGTCAACATCACTCATCATCAAGGAAATGCAAATCAGAACTACAATGAGTTATCACTTCACACCTGTTAGAATGGCTAAAATCAAAAACACAAGAAAAAGCAAAGTGTTGGCAAGGATGTAGAGAAAAAGGAACCCTCTTGCACAGATGGTGGAAATGAAAACTGGTGCAACCACTCTGGAAAAACAGTGTGGAGGTTCCTCAAGAAGTTAAAAATAGAACCACCGTATAATACAGTAATCCAACTACTGGATGTTTACCCCCAAATACAAAACACTAATTCAAAGGGATACATGCACCCCTTGTTTATAGCAGCATTATTTACAGTAGCTGAACTATGGAAGCAGTTCAAATGTCTTTTGTTTGATGAATGGTAAAGAAGATGTGATACACACACACACACACACACAGTGGAATATTAGCCATATAAATAAACGAAATCTTGCCATTTGCAACAACACAGAGCTATAGAGAGTACAATGCTAAACAAAAATAAGTCAGAGAAAGACAAATACCATATAATCTCGCTCATATGTGGAATTTAAGGAACAATACAAATGAGCAAAGAAAAAACACAGAGAGAGAGAGACAAATAAAGAAACAGACTCTTAACTCTAGTGAACAAACTAATGGTTGCCAGAAGGGAGCTGGGTAGGGGGATGAGTGAAATAGGGGATGGAGATTGCAGAGTACACTTATCATGATGAAAAAAATAAAATAATAATTTTAAAAATCTAGGGACATTTTGAGAGTCACTGGATCCAATAATAGAATTCTAGGAACCAAATCAGGAAAATAATCAATTTGTCCCCATAACTGCCAGATTTCTCACATTTATACTCAGGGAAATGATCGACTTTTTGTTTATGTCAATGTCTCAGTTCTGAGAAATGATACCATGCAGTTGATTTGTAAAACCAATTTTGAGAGAGAGGAAAAATACCAACCCTATAGTTAGCTTTACGTCTTGAAGGTTTATTGTATGCAGTGGCTCTGAGTCAGGGGATATGGTTTTGAGCAGCAGTAGTGAATCTGTGTAATACTGAGTAGTGTTGCCCTGAGATTCAACTCTTCTTCATGTTCTGAGCCCCTTTATCATAGTATAACATATCTTACAGAATGGAATTTAGGAAGATTCTTAGAAAGTAGATGATGATAATAAGTGGCCATGAATTACAAGAGTTTACTTTTAGGTCTATTTATCTTAATTGTTCTCACTTGATTTGACTCGAAACATTATCTCTAGGAATTATCATTCTTTGTTCATTGAAACTCTGCTTTCTGAGAAAGTTGAACATTTATTGTCTGACTCCTACTGGCAGTTTTTCTGAATATGACATTCCATGACACAATTTGGCTTCCAACTGCCTTTCAGAGATAATAGAGAAGGTGGTGGTGAAAGTGGTGGTAGTGATGCTGATGACAATAACTCATTTAAGATCAACAACATTTATTATATGGCCACTACATGGCCATCTCCTCAACCCAATAGTGGGTTTTGTTGCACATCAGTACTTGGAAAACATATAAAATATTTCTATAAATAGTATTTGATAACAATGCTTTGCTGTTTCCTGGCTCCATTAAAAAAATAAGGAATAACTGTAATCTTAGGAAAACTATCACTCTTCCATATTTTGGTCAATATTTAACACAGGAAAAATATAACCTATAAAACCACTATCTACAAAGAAAAGGAATGAATCCTTATCATTGATAATTTTATGATTTTTCTCATTTCCTACTGTAGAACCTCTACATAATTCCATTGTCTTGGTTTAGGCCAAAGGTTGTCTTCTATATGACTTAATCTTATAGTAAAATCTTTTCTTTTTGTAATTTATGAGTAGTTTCTGAAATGGTCCTGTTTTATAGTGAGTTTTGATGAAGGAGATACAGTTCTTAAAAGCACCAGTATGCTTCCTTGAGGTACAAATATGACAAGCATTTCTACAAGCTATATTCTTTGCTCCAAATATTCCCTATTCTCCACTTGATTGGCCTTAAAGATAAGAGAGGGTAAATAGGTTAATCAAGAAGTTAATACCTCAGTGTTCACTGAAGAAAATTTAAAACTGGAGAGTAAATAAAAGATCTTTATGCAAGAGAGCACTGATCTTGGGCACTCATTACAGATCTCCATTAACCTTAAGTAAAACTTGTAGCCATAATTACTTACTATGAAACACACAGACCAAAAACAAAACAAAACAAAAAAACCAACATCAAACCCAAAAAACTGATGTAAAAGGTATGTTATGGCTAAACATTTAGCTGGAAGATCTACTAATGTAGCATTTTTCAGAACTAAAAGTATTTGTAGACACCAATATAGTTAAAGATTAACTGGAAACAAATAATTCTAAGATGCCATCAAAGGGACAAACTTACGAACATGTTTGAAGAGAAAAGTTAGCTGGTAAAGTCACTGTACATACTCAACTTCCATCACCAAAAGGAACAATTGCCAATCATGAGACTCAATTCGTTTTCCCCCCCACCAATAATTAAGATATCTCAAATTTCCATTCGTTTTAAAAATACTGTCTCATTTCTTTCTACAAAAGAATAAAGCAAATGAACTCTCACCAGAAAGACTGCTTGAATGTTAAAGGTGCTTCTTCTAGCTGTGTGTATGTGGTAAACAATTTTTGTCTTGTAAACTCGTTGTTGGAAACTGCTGTTTAAATGTTAAGTTACCTCTAGAAAACCACTGGCCGCCCTATCCTGTACTTGAGTGATAAGATAATGAAAATGCTTTATTTTGTTTACAGACAATGCTAATGAGGAAGAGCTGGAAAAGATCAAGTAAGGTAATGGCTTAGCATGTGATCTTTCAGCTTTTCTTGTTGAGAAGAACTATCAGCTGCATTCCAAATTTCTCTCACACCTCTTCACACTGTACTCCAGGATTTCATCCACTCTTGTTATTTTTTTCCCATCAACTTTAAGCAAATCATGGAATGCTTCTTAAGTAGCTAGAAGTCACACTGATCACTCACATCCACATCACCCTCTTGCTAATGCCTGGTCCCTTCTCAGCATCATTCGCAGCATCCAGTTTCTGTTCTGTGTGCCACAGGGTCTAGAAAATGTCTTTGCTCCAGATCAGGAATAAAATGGTTGGGTAGAGACCACTCCAGAGAGAAGGAAGATTCATGTAACTCTCTGTCTTTGTTCATGAAAACTGAGTCCGAGATCTTCTAAACTCAAAATCCCTCTAGTGCTACATCTTTGGAGTCTATAATGAGAAGAGTTTTCCATCATGGCCTCTTCTCACTTCAAGAAATAGATGGCTCTTGGGAGTGAGAGGAGTTTATGGTTCCTGTAACTAAAAAGACCTGGCTCTTCTTATAACTTGTAAAATATATAAGATATAAACTAAGCTTCTCATTTGTTCAGTGGTAGTATCATTCTTGGACACAACTATCAAGATGAAACGGACTTTTATATGCATACTCCTCGAGATAAAGGGATGCTATTTGTAAAGATCTTCTTTGTTCAAATTTCTATTTAAAAAGTCAGTATTCATTTTTAATAGTAATTTTTTTAGACCCTGGAACATGACAATTTTTTTCCATTCTGATTGAATCATGCTATTACTTAAATTTTGTTTTAATTTTGTCATTTTTATTACTGTGAATTAAGAAAGTACATCAAATTGTTTTTGTATTTATGATATTGTCATAATTTGCTTTAACAAGTATTTCTTACCGTACAGTTTCCTCAATTCTTAAAGTATTAATGACTGAAAGATAATTCTCACAAAAAGGTCTGGGTCACATTAAAAATCACCTTTATATTTTAATAAAGTGAAAGGCATTTATTAAAGAAAGTTGCTGAGTACTTCTGGCTTAGTATTCACTGTGTTTTATATTGACCAAAATAAAGTTTCAAAGGTTCTTAAAGAAATGTTTGTACTCTTCATGTTTGTATTACACATTTTTCTTTGTAATTTTACTTCAAAATTAGTGTTATGTGAAAAGTATATATATTTTTAAAGTCATATAATTTGGCTTTCCTCATTCTGTGTCTATACTATGACATACCTGTGTAAAAATGATATAATTCATTAATATACATCAATATTTTCTCTTCCAGATGTAGTTAAGACATAATGCTAGAGCAAGATATTATACAGTATTAGTACTGATCAGTAAGAATGATCCATTTTTTTAAGATTGTATTTATTTATTCATGAAAGACAGAGAGAGAGAGAGAGAGAGAGACACAGGTAGAGGGAGAAACAGGCTCCATGCAGGGAGCCCGACGTAGGAGTCGATCCTGGGATTCCAGGATCACACCCTGGGCCGAAGGTGGCACTAAACTGCTGAGCCACCCAGGCTGCCCATGAGAATGATCCATTTTATTGTAGTATGAAAGAAAGACTAAATATATAGATTCTTCCTTAAATAACTTTTTTAATTCATATTTAAATGTAATTTTAATGCTAAATTAAGTAAACATAAATCCACATCTTTTCTTTTGGTTGACAGAAAAAATTAAAATGAATAATAAACATCTATTCAATACTATTTTTACATCTAAAATTCTTAAAGTTTTAATTTATTATTGATCCATTTGTACATTCAGACTGGTACATTTTTCTGGCTCGCCGTTGAAGATACAGAATTCTTCGAGTCTAGCTCTGCACCTACTGGGGTACTTGGCAGATCATTTTTAGTTCGTGTGGTAAAATGTCTTTTGGATTTTTAGCCTAAAGGACTTTCAGTTTTATAAAATTTAGTGGGGTTATTGAATGCCGAGTAAGGGAAAATCAGTTCACTCATTTGTTTTTTTTCTATGGGAACATACTGAACACCTGATAATTCATTCAAATCCTCACTCTCCCCTAAAACCTTTGCTGTGTTCATCCGTATTAACGTTACAAGGTGAGAGTGTTAAATTCAAAATCAAGGGAAAGTGTGTGACTTCCATGACCACATAGTCCACTGTCCTTCACACACACTGAAATTGCTTCCCCAGTTCCCTCCTCCAGGGTTTGAAGGAGGAAGGATGATGGTCATGCAAATTGTGCTTCAGAAGAAACTAAGGGATGAGTGACTATACTATGTAATATTCCCTCTTCCATTTTAGGAAAAAGGTTATAATTTATTTGCATTACATTTACATATAGGTATTTTATATTTGATACAACTGTCCTCAAAGTCAAAGGGGAATTTTTCATATAAACAGGTCATTTTCATCTTTGGAATCTTGATTTATGAGAATGAGGTCTCCTGCTTTTCTGTAGCGGGGCTTTGATATGCAGCCTGTCTGTGGTACAATGGTGATTACAAAATTTGAGAATTATGAACTTTGTGGCGAAGAGTTAACTATAGCCAGATAACGTTGCTAGATATTTGCTGTAGTACAGAGTTTTTCTTCTTGTTGTTTTCTTTTGTTTATGACGGCGACTTAACCATGGAGAGAGAAAAATAATTTGATATAGGTATTCTTAAAATATGCACATCTCCCCTGTATACAAGGGAGTCAGCTCATGGGATTTCTCATTATTTAAATATCTGCTCATCATTTTCATCATCTTGCCAATAATTGACTCTTTCAATGGAAATTACACTATTTGTGGCACTCTTATAATGTGGGGTTGTATATATTTCAATGGAAATCACATTATTTGTGGCACTCTTATAATGTGGGGTTGTATATACTACTGAAAACGAGCTGAGTAGCCAACTTGAGGGCAGGGAATTATTATTGCTGTTCAGACTGACTTACGTATTATTTAGAGTAATTGTGTTACCATCCAACAACAAGTAGGAAATGAAATGCACCTAAACTTGCATCTGAGAAGCAAGAATGTATAAAATACATGTTACATTTGAACGGTATGTTAACCAGTAAATAATTATGAATTCCATCATATCTCCTCTTCTGGGGATAGCATCCTTTAAAATTCTCATTCTGGTTTTCCACAAGCATACTTTCCATCCTGCATATTTGTAATCCTGCCCCACACTCAGCTGTTAAAGAAAAATGTTATTTTAAGAAGAAAGGGATCAATGTCTACCTAAACTTAGGCAACTGAATAATTATCCTGGTCAAAGAGTTATACTTACATGACAAAATGCATTTTGGCAGAGAAATGGTAATGCTTTGAATTATTGCAATATTTTATTCTTTAGAAGAAGCTTATCATTGATAATTTATTCTAAGGTTAAATTATTCAACAAGAAAGTTTCATGAGCTCAGAAGAGAAGATGTATATGTGTTTTGTGAATAAATTTTGTGGGGTCAGACAAAAAATAGAAAAAATAATGAAACAATTACCTCTATCAGACAGCCAGTAAGCAGAAATGATTTTACACTACATTGTGTGTGTATGTGTTTTAAGGTAGAAGAATTAGTTTATTGGTGAGTGTGGTAATAAACTTATGTGGTTTCAATAAATCACTTTAATTACATGAGCTGTAACCATTGTGATGGTATAAAGATATACACACTGCAATTCATATTCTCAACAATAACAGTTTAGAGATGTTTTAAGAAGAGTTCATCCTTTGAATAATATAATATGGACTATGTGATCATGTCTCATTAGCATATCTTCTGTTACTTGATGGCTTATTTTTTTAGTAATATATCTTTTTTATAAAGATTTTATTATAATCACTTAGCATAATTTTAATGAACTATAAAACACTTTATTCACTGGTGAATGAAGCAATTTTTAATAAGACTTTTGGCAAGGATATTGTTAATTTAAACTAGAGAACACTTTCAACTCTAAGTCTGCAGGGCGTAGTTAAACCTGACACCTTGGATGACACATTAAAAATGCATCAGTGAAAACCTCTAAGTGCTTTAATTTAAGAAACGCTAGAGAAACAGATTAACGCATTTTTAAGTATCTCACACAGTCAGTCTGACATAGGAAAAAAAAGTCATTATTTAACAATTATCAAGTTCTTTCTCCAAAGACCTCATATCCTGATAATAAATAGCTGTTTTTTTAAAACCTGCAAAACATGCAAACTTTTTTGGTCATTGACTCTCAACTGTGAGTCACCTCAATGGCTTTTCTTTGATGGCTCATTTCAAATTATTATGTATATATCTTTGAAAAAAATAGATGTTTACATATTTTCAAAGGAAATATATAATTCTTTTAAAAATCCTTACCACTGTTTATACTCCAAAATCTGTGTTATTTGGGAATGCTCCCAAGTCAACCTCATAATTAAGGCTTCTGAGATTCCACAATACAGCAATGAACAAAAGGCAAATAACATGAGCGTTTCTACCATAAAAGACTCTATTTTTACCTCACTCAACTAACCTCCTAAAATTTGTAGTAAGTTTATTTAGGATAGAGATATCATAATGCCAGTACATATTTGATTATGCCACAAAATACAGGGAGCCATAGTTAAGTTTTATGTTGAGATGATTTTTTTCTTGCTATTTTGACAATATTTTCCCATAGGTATAAAATATACATTTTTATACATCATAACTCATAACTACAGGGATTTGCTGTAGCACCAGCTTTACATTTATGTGACCACTTTTGTTGAATTTTTAAAATGTGGGTCCTTGAGTGTGCAAATCTGGATGAGTTGGCACAAAGTGAAAGGACAAAATGTGATCTCAAGCAGAGCATGCATGGCATGACATGTGCGTGCTAGCTCTAAGATGTTGAATTGTGGGTCATTGATTGGCCTTCACGTTGCTGATATGTATTACCTAGTGAGCTGACAATTTCCCAAGATCCTTTCCGGACTGATCAAAGGGAGGGAACTAATAGAACTCCAGGATAACGAAGCAAAGGGTTGGTTGGCAAGATTATATGGCCTTCTATTTCAAAGATGGACATTTGTTTATATAACATACATCAGATATATCTAACATATATATCTATGTATAAATATGCTATATATATATATATATGTGTGTGTGTTCAGTTGAATGGGACCAGGAGGAGGTTTATTGGTTTTCCAGTCACCTAAATATCCACAGTGAAAATAAATGATAATTTTGTGAAGATTCTGTTTTCAAAGCCCTAGTTGACAAGAGTATACACGCGTATGTGCCTGTGTTTAGACATGTACACAAACACACAAATAAAAGATTTAACTTAACATTTCTAGGAAAACAAAAGACAAAGCAAAGCTAGCCTTCAGTTATAGGGCATGTCCTCTGGGGAGCTGAGATTGTCTCACTGTTGCAGAAATATTTAAATGGACAGGTGAAGTTGCAAGAGGGAATCATATTTGTGTTTGAGTATAAATGATATGAACACCAGGTTGAGTAACCAAGAAAACAGGAAAGTAGCATTTCAGTGTACATTCTGCTTACTTCATGTCCCTGTTTTCAGCTACATAACAATCCATAGGCATTTTCAACTTGATGGGAGCATCTAAGAGCCATAGCTTTGATAAACAGTGATAGCGGTCAGACCAGGAAAGCCTATGAAAATTATTTACTTATGGATTTATTTGTTTTTAACCTCGTAAATGCCTGAAGAGTTATTGATAAAAGGAAATTGTGCAACCTATTAAAATATGCTGTGCATTATGAGTGCTACCTGGCTTGACCTTCACATTTATATCTCAGGCTTCAAATCGGCGGTGAGTGTTGGACTATTGAAGAATTGCTGGATTATAGTAACGTGCAAAATGTTTAAAGCCTGCACACATTATGGCTAATAAAAATATCACTATTAATTGATGTTTAGTGGCTAATCCTTGTTCATCTGATGACAAAGTCCTTAAAGGTTTTTATGATTTATTGAAATAGGAGGCTAAAAAATTTCATTGTATTCATTTTGTTAGGAAAGAAATGAACTGTCCTTTAGTTTTCTTACTTGGGAAAAAAAAGTATATCTTTTTTATTTTTAGATTTACAATCTTGTTACTTTTTAGATTCATAGTATGATTTTTGATCTTTGAGGATCGATGTTCTTTGTGTATGTAGGTTTAAATAAGATATGTCAGTGGATCTTTCTACTTTAATAAATTTAGAGCCTCAGCAGAAATAGTCAGCAATTCATTATTCAGGACAACTTCAGTAATTTTCCTTTGTTAATTTGATGTCTTTGTTTTATGTTCTGCTTCTTTTTGATCTTACTTTATCATCTTAGCATTTTTTAAATGGTACTTTTCCTCACTTACCAACCTTGTGTCTCTATGGAGACTGAGGTATCATGAAATATCTACAATCATGATTGAAGACTGGTCTTCTCTGAAATTCATGAATAGTTCATTTGGTTTTTCTTGCCCTCATAATAAAATCACTTTTTTTTTAGAACTCTTTATCACAATGCCAGGTGCCTTATTATTGCTGTTGTTATTAGTAGGAACTCTCATGAAAGGGAAGCCTTGGCTCATCTGCTGTGGATTATGTATTCAGCAAGGCAATAAATGGCATAAGGGTCCACAGGAAAATTAAGTTGTTCCATTTGAAATAAAGGCCTAAATTTACATGAGAATGTAGGTTGTAAAATGAAATATAAATTTTAGTTGATGAGTAATGACAGAAGTAATTAAACGTGGCTTGAAAAGCACAGCCCGGGGACTTCAGTGGATCCAAATGTGGCTAATATTTTTGTTTCTCAAATTTTAACAGAGAAACCTAAGTTCTACGTCTTGATCATTAAAATTCCCCCCCACACACAAAAAATTCATCAGTCTCATCTTGCTCTTTGCACACTAGTCACATAATTAGGTCATTAACCTCTGTATTCACCTGAGGAAGAATGGAAAGTATGAAGCTGGTACAGTTTCAATATTAGTCACTTTAGACCACCTAAACTTTAAATGAATTGACAAGACTTTTAAATATTTAATGGTCATATTATTTGTTATAATTGTAATGAGTCCAAAGCCAATATTTTCACATCCATTTAAGTTGCCTTAATACATTTTACATTAAGATAAAACTTCCTGTTAGTTCCATAATTTGTGTTATTGGCTCTGGGGAAATATTTTGTGTAAAGAGACTTTAAGACTTCAGTTTCTTTAATATGATATTTTAAAATTTCTCCACGTGTTTGAGACATGTGCTTGATCGAGGTAAGGAGAGAATTGGCAATCCTAGAGAAAAACACACATCTTTTGTAAAAGCTGGAAAAAGGTTTTTCAAATTAAACAATGTACAGCATCGAAAAAGACTGCAGTCATTCCATCTAAGGTTCATGCCCCAGTGTCCAAATGTAAATGTGTTTTTTTTTAAGAGGCTTGGGGTTTTTTTGAGATACTGATGTGACAGTGAGTTAAGTGTGACAGATGAGAACCTCAGCTGTAAAAGTAAATGAATTATAACTCTGTAGTGCCAGTAAAATGATGTCTTAAACTCCAGGCTTTTCCCCAGTCACTGCTAACATTAGCCATGCTACCTGACCAAACTCTATGTAGGTAGCTTGGGAAAATGAAAATAATTTTGTTGAGAAAGAGATTTCCTGTAAAACAAACAAAACAAACAAAACAGGTAGATGATATAGATGATCCCTGATGTAATTCTGTTGCTAAATTTAAATTATTCAACTTGCTGCACACCCTAAATATTTTAGTTGACTATTATTTTCTGATATGATTTTTGGTATCATGTTTGGAAGGAATGTCTACACCTAACCAAATGAAACTCCAAGTGACTAACAATCAATGAATTATTTATTGAGTACCTACTGTGCAATGGGCATCATGTGAGGTGCTGGACCACTATCTTAGCTGCTAACACAAAATCATGGAATATTCAAATAAGTTACAAAACTTCATCCTCTTCATCACGGTGTCAACAGTCAATACTGGTCCAAAAATGTCCTCAGTTTCCCGTAATTTTACCATAACTGACACCCAGAGACAGGATGCAAAACATTCAAGTGTGAAGGATGCGTGTAATACAAATGTTCTCTTTAAAAGTGAGCAGCTATGGTTTTGATTTCCTAAAGTCGAATTGGTTTCACCTTATGAAAGTCTGAGGATTAAGTAATAAAATATCCAACATGAATTTGTGACTTTGTTTTCGGCCCAATAGCCGCCCTGCTCATTATTCATTTCTTGTCAAAATTATTTTTGCGGAGCTCAAGTTAACGAAGTAATTTATATCATCTACATTCTGTATTATATCTTAAAACTAGGAAGTTTTTAATTAGGGATTAAACCAAATTTTAGTAAGTGTGTGTTTATAAATAAGATATCCATTGTCATTCTTTAAAAATGTTCTTAAGGCTATGGCATTGTTTTGTTAAAAGGAACAGATATTATCTGACTTCCTTCAGAATCTTCAAGTATGTTTGAACAGTCCTACTTTCTAAAATAAAGTGTTAGACTCTGAGACGTAATAATCAATAATTTAAGAATGAAGAGGTAAGTAGATTCTTATAAAATAACAGAATCTTTTCTAAACTTACTACCATTGATAATTGGATATGAATAAGACAAAATCTTTAATTTACTCAGGGAAGAAAACTAACAGTTTATAAACACTGAAAGTGTCATTAGGATATCTAACTTTGGGGGTTTGTTCATTTTTATTTTGTTGGGCTAAATATTCTCAAAAACACTTCAAAATGTAGCTAAATATTTGTTTGTTTTTAGGATCTCTCAGAAAATGAAGTGGTTGGATCTTATTTCTCTGTGAAGTCTTTCTTTTGGAGGGTAATGTCTAAATCCTTTATATTAATATTTTGATTTTGGTTTTGGATAGTAATTTTGAAAATTAAATATGAAATAGGAAATTCACTTTTTAAAATAGGCTCTCAGAAAAATGTGTTCAATTGACTTTCTTTATTAACTTTTATTGCAAGCCATTTGAGGGACTCTTTCATTTCTTCATTTGTAAAACCTAAGAACTTCATATACTTCATATATATTGCTTTGAAGTCAGTTCCTTGTGGGACCAAGTTTATCACAAATTCTCACCAGCTAGAGGCTCCCAGCCCTTCCAGGAAGATGATGGTGCTATCTAAAGGGTCCATTCAGTTTCTTTTTTTCCCTTCTTGTAAAATCTGCTCCATCTGCTTGAGAAAAATTTACTTCCATTACAGTGATCTTATACTATATACATACTAGATAATCAGTGTTCTTTCTTTGAAAAAAAAAACTTATGAATTAGAAAACAGCAACTCTGCTCTTGATTTAAATAAAGAAAAAAGTGAAAATTCTACAGAGAATTTGTTTTAAATGCCGTTGCAATTTAATGTTATTTACTCTTTCATGACTTCCCCATAACGAGCTCTGTCATCCTTTTTGCTCTGCTCTAATTCTGCATTATGCACAGCACGATTTATTACAAATGCACTTAGTAGTTTGCCAAGAGTTCCCTTCTTTCTTTGAAAATTCACACTTGGTACATGATTACCTAGCAATAGATATTGCAGTGAAAGTGCTACACCCGTGGGGCCTTGCCATTTGCTTTCCTTGGCTCTGAAACTGCTCATGACTGAAAACTACCTTTCCCCTTTAGAATTTTAAGACATGTTGAGTGTAGTGTCTTTTAAGCAGACTGGTCGGCACTAGATTAAGTCGTGCATTGAGCCAGTATAAACCACATCTCTTCATCCTTTGCTTCCTTCACACAGACTTTTTTTTTTTTTGCAGCCTTTTATTGGTGAGAGCTTATTTTAATTATTAGAGCATCTTCACTTCCTTTCAGTCTACTGATGGCTGCCTTCACCGATGTTAGTCTGTCTTTGCTAAAATAATAATTTATTTGATATGTTCATATGTTATTTGTGAGAACACAGAGTGACTGCTTTTGAATTGTCACATTACCTTAAGTGGAATTTGGTTTTTGGCAAAAATTTAGACTCTGTTTTCTTAAGATCCACAAATATGGTGAATTCATATACTATACCTCTTTGCCAAGAGAGCCGAATTCAGGAGTGTTCTGTATTGAATTTGTTCTATATGCAGCCAATGTACAAACTGATCATTAGGAATGAAGCCTTGCTACCAGGATCAATTACATAAGTAATAATTTTTAAGGGTTTCCCTCCCAATGATTCTTCCAACATCTTTCCACTTTGCTACTTCCAAATTAGTATCCCATGTACCAGTACTTTCCATTTGGTTGTGTTCATCCTTAAATATTCTTTTTTTAACCCTTAAATATTCTTTATTAACCTCTCTCAATGTCTTGAACTGTCTCATTTTAGAATAAGAAATACACCAAGTTAAAATATAACATTTTTGTATTTGAGGTACAGTGGTCTTTTCTTCTGAGCATATGTTGAGTAACTAACAAAGTGAGTCAAAAAGAGAACCTATAGAGGTCATTTATTTTATCATTGAGGAAACTAAGGCCCAGAGAAGTAACACAATTGACTTGATGTGTCTGAAATTGGGATGAATGATCAGGACCAGTATTTTTCTTTCTATGAATATCGTGAATATAATTGTTTAAAGCAACTGAGCTGCTTTTTGGGTCAGTGATGAATACAGATGTGATGTAAAAGTAAAGCCCTTCCCTTAGTTTATCTTCATTGAGCCCCATTCAGATTCTTCTTGCATTATGTAACCCTTCTGCCCCACAGCTCCTTAACCCACTGATAGATGGATGTGTTTAAGGGCTGTGATGTTTGAGGTCCCATCTTACAGAATCAGAAAAATCAGTGATCCAGTCTACTTTGCATGAATATGATCTTTCATATTCACATTCAAAGGTCACACCAATAACCAACCTTATTGTTCTTTCCCCGGGTAATATTTATACTGTGATTAACTTTTAGGTGAGATGTAGATGAAGGGAGGTTTTCCGGAGACATTTTCAGATATGCAGAAAACCTAAATGGTTCAGATAAAATCTTACATGAGGAGCATATGCGTGCTTTGTGAGTTTTTATCAGCTTATTTATAAGAATCAATAAATGTGTCTTGGAGACACTAAGTAAAACTGAATCCTGGTGAGATCTTTCTTAAATGTCAGGGCTACTTGGTAGGTCTTAATTTTCTTGAGAGCAAAATAATAAAAATAAAAGACTGAAGAATACAGACATATTCTATTTTTCCAAAGGCATAACATTTAAAATTCATCAAAACGTGATATCTTAGGACACAAAACATGAAGCACTGGGTATGGCAATTACCATGTTTCTCATGAAAGCAACAAACATTATGTGAAGTCACTTGGATTGCTCTAAGTCAGAATTTCATTGAAGATTTTTAACTTCCATTAAAGGATGATAAATAACTTAGTAGAATTGCTTCAAGTTCTTGGTACATTTAAGTTTTTCTCAGTTAACTCCGTTGACCAGACATTTAGATCTTGATGACTCAGAGTTAACTGAACAAACCCTGTTATGAGAAACACTATAGTAAATTTAAGAGAAATGTTAAAATTGTGTAAATGGAGAAGGCTAGGCTATACCAAGATACCTCATATAGAAAAATGGAGAAATGGATCATCATATGGAATAGGACAAAAAGAGTGCACAGAATACAAAACAATTAGGACTTATGTCAGAGCACCATCTCATGGTAGGGTTAAATCAGAGTTTTAGGAAGGTTGAAGGAAGAAAGACCCTGCAGACCAAGGAGAAGTATTCATTCTATCAAACAAGAATATTATCCTGTGCTGAAGTGATTACATTCTGAACAACTCAACCATATATGACATACACCCAAGAAAAGTGAAGGTGTTATTTATATCTTTAGGTATGAAAGTAAGACCCTCAGAAAACAATGTATTTGTAACATTTAGATAAAAATCTCAAAAAAAAATATGAGTCAAACCCAGGACTCATTCTTTCTTTACATCATTGGTGGAAACCAGTATATTACTTGAGCAAACCAATAGGATTACAATATATATGATAATTTTCTAATATTTAATATTTTGAGTAAACATCGTAAAAGCTTAAGAACTTTTGTTTGGCGACAGTTAAGTTTAGAGATGGTAGTTAAAGCATCTGAAGTAAACATAAATACCTTCCTGACACCATAGGTTGTTTCAAGAAGCAACAGAAATAAGAAAGAAACTTTAAGGATAAAAACCAGGAGAATTTCTCTAAGGATTATAGTGCCATGAGTCATTTTCTAAGAAAAAGGGGATCAAAGCTTTATTATTACATGAGGCACTTGAAACTAGGCTGGACAAAGGCCTGGGAGGGTTTTCTGTAAAGGCAATCCTTCTTTGAGAGGACTGTAGAACAAATCTACTTGTTGGACTTCATCACCTAGGTGCAATTCACTAGAATAAACTCAGCAGGCAAAGGAAAAGATAGAACATGCCTGTGCCTGGGATTGAGCTAATAATTGCTCCACACTCCAGGCTTTGCAGCACAAAACAGCCCTTCCAGGCTGTCATTATCTCTTCTTTGTAGTGTCTCGTGGATCATTTGATTAAATAAAAGCATGTGCGCCTCTGTGCTGAAAATAGAGGTGAGCTGACTCCACACACAGCTATTGTAAAGACACAGTGATGTCTTTCACTCCAGTTGCACAGGGTCTGGGTCTCATTTGGAAGGATTAGGTTGTATACAGGTTATAAGTCCCAAGGTAACAAAAGCCAAGGATTATTTGCACATATCAGGGAGAAGATTAATAGGACCAAGTGGTTTTTAGCCACATATTAAATCTAGATAGATTTTGTTTTGTTTGGTTCTGCTGTTTTTTAAACCAGGATCTGGAATAATAGGATCTGCCTTCTATTAGTGATCCAGTTTTTCAAGGAACTGAATTAATAAACTTTCATAACCAGAATTGAAATCTAGATGTGTTCTCAATTTACTTATGAGATTCTACAACTTCACCAACCTTATTAATGTTACACCATAATTCATTATGGAGCACAGTCAACTCTCATATGCTTTACTGAACAATATAGGCTAGAGTTATTACCACCTACCAACTTTTGCTTCCTCTGAGTCCCTGAATAGATTTTCTCAATAATTTATACTCGTGGACATATTTTATTTAAATAGGAGCCAAAGTATGTCAACAAATCCTGTATATTATTTCCCTTTTTTGTTTCTGTATTATGAGCTTTTTAGGCTTTGTCCAAAAGCCTAAGAAGAAATATACCAGGGAGATCCCTGGGTGGCGCAGCGGTTTGGCGCCTGCCCTTGGCCCAGGGCGCGATCCTGGAGACCCAGGATCGAATCCCACGTCGGGCTCCCGGTGCATGGAGCCTGCTTCTCCCTCTGCCTATGTCTCTGCCTCTCTCTCTCTCTCTCTCTCTCTGACTATCATAAATAAAAAAAAAAAGAGATATACCAGGGAAAATCATCAATTAGCTATCACCAACCACGGATTCAAATCTCAACCTTGCCAATCACTAATCATTTGGCTTTGAGTAGGGTATTTATCATCTCTGTGCCTCAGTTTCCTTACCTTAAAAATGCCTATTATGAAAAACACTGGAGTATGAAAACCTTAGCACCTAGTAGTTGCTCAATACATGCTTATTTCTTAGTGTATCGTCTAAACTATCTTTCAGATTGGCACATCTAACCCTCCCCATTGGTGTTCTCATCTCATGATAATACTACATTGTATGGAAACTGTCTAGATGCTCCAGTCATTTAATACAAACTTGTAGCTTATCATGATAATTTCCTTCTGGTATTTCTTTCTGAATCCATCTCTTGCTGTTCATGGTCTTAGTAACAAAGGGACATTTTTGGTTGCTTTCTTGGGCACAAGGGTAACAGGGAAAATGAGGCAAATTTCATGGGGCAAAATTTCTGTTATTTTAGAGATATCGCTTGAAACATTACAAAAGATTAGCCCATGGGATGCAGTTAACATGATCATACTTGTTGCCTATCCATGGAACACGTATTCTTCTGGGGCCTTATCACTTCTTTGACATTGGAAATAGTCTCCAAAATATCCTGAAGCAGCAGTGTTGGGGAAATAATTCTTTCCATGATTTCTCTTGCTCTGTTTCTTCTCGCTGCCACACTCATTAACAAAAATCTGAAACCACTCTGGCAGAATCCATCATCATTCAATCTCTGTCCTTTATTTTTTTGACCACTTAGCAATATGCCACTAAAGAAAATGGTGGCTGGAAATTATATTATTGCATTGGCATTTATCTTCATTGTGCTAGAAGACATTTTCTGATGGTGACTTAGGGAGCCAATACCTGTGTGTGTGTGTGTGTGTGTGTGTGTGTGTGTGTTTCAAATAATGTGTTTTTGAAAAGTAATGCTAAACGCTGATTGAAATGAGGTGTTGCTAGTGGCACAAAGCTTTCCTGTACAGCTCTGATCGTTCATCCCCATCCAGACGTGCAGCAGGCCTGCTCTTCCTGTCCTGGGTTTCTGCAAAGCAGAGTTTCAGAGTACTTGTTACCAAAATGCACAAGTAAGTTCGATCATTCGGTTTGTTTATTCCTTCTGAGCTTGCATGAGCTGTGAACTCTCATGGCTGATTTACTGTCCTGAAAACCCATTCTTTATCTTAAATGCATTTTACACATGAAGAGGAATTGAATCTTGAATTCCTTTTCAAGGAATAATATACATAAACTAATACTTTCTTTAAAATGCCAACTCACCCATTCTAAAATCTTACTAAGGATATATGTCATTAACTAATTGCCTCAGAATTTGAAGTTGGTATTGATACCTAATATCTTGATATTCTTTATTAAGTCTGAACTTAGATGAATATTCCTTATGAGAATGATCTCAAACTTCAGCTCATGCGAGAATCATGTGGGGCACATGTTGGAGATATATATGGGAGTAGCTCTGCTCCACAAGAACTGAATCACATCCAGGAGGTCAGGCCCACTGATTTCAACAAATTGCCACTAAAATTTGGGAATTCCTCCTTTAAAAGTTCAAAGGTTATTTCTTCCTTTTGCAGTATTGGGTCTTTGCTTTGAAGCTAGGCTGTTTTTCCTTTTGCTTCTTCCTTCCTTCTTTCTTTCCCTCCTTAAACAGAATTGTTTCAACAAGGGCATAAATGAAAACAATTATGTTACCTCAAATAACTCAAATACCTTTAGTTACCTCAAATAACTAAATCCACTTCTGATGTGTTAATTTTATTGAGGGATATCTTGGATTTAATACTCCTTGCCATTTAGGTGCTCAATAAGTAATTTTTGATTGACTAATTATCAATACTTCAATTGATATGTATTATTGAAGTATATCTTATGTGGGAAAAAAAACCATTAAAGGAAGAAAATAATAAACAAACTTCACATAATTGTGCAGTAGGCTCCTGCTTATCTCTTTAAATTCTCCAATATCCAGACCAACCTGCTTTCCTAATCAGTACATTTAGAAACAGGACTAGAAGGCTCTAATTAGCATATATAGTATCCATGCAAGAGGGTGGATAATGTTCACATTTATAGTAACTAATAACAGTAATTAGAACATAGGAGAGCCTTGGGTGGCTCAGTCGGTTAAGCGTCTGTCTTCAGCTCAGGTCATGATCCCAGGGTCCTAGGATCAGATCCAGGATCCTGGGATCAGGCCCCAAGTGGGGCTCCCTGCCCAGCAGGGCATCTGCTTCTTCCTCTCCTTTTACCTCTCCTCTCTCCCCTGCCCCTGTGTTCTCTCTCTCAAATAAATAAAATCTTGAGAACATAGGTCAGTGCCCATGACCCTTAGAACTTTTAAAGCAGGGCTTCCCACACTTGAGCATGCATCAGAACGACTCTGAGTGAGGGCTGAGTAAACCAGAGCTTCTGATTCTGTTGGTTGGGGGTGGGGCTGAGGAATTTGAATTTCTAGTCAGTTCGTGAGTGATGGACGCTGATGCCAATGGTCTGTGGCCCACGCCATGAGAACTCTGCTATACAGAGGAAGGAAACTGAAAACAGAGCAGCAAGTGACTCAGCAAGTGCCTTGAAGAGCATTAACACTAGTGGGTTTCAAAGTTGCTTTTTTCTTTCTTTCTTTTTTTTTTTTTAGTTGTGGAAGTTCATTTGTCAGCATCCCTTCAATGAGTTCCCTGAAACTTTGATTTAAAAAATTAATAAAAGTGCTAAAGGGCTATCTTAAGAAGGTTAAATCTTTTTTTTTTTGTTTATGAAATATACTATTTTCTATTTAGACCCCCCGAACATAGACACCCCCGGTCCCTCCTTAACTTCCTTCCCCTCCACACACACTCTTACTACTCTTAATAGTGCTCTTACTACATTTGGAGCTCTGGAGCACAGTCTGGGGAACCATAGGTAACAAATGAGGCCCAGAGAGGGAGCAACATGCCTAAGTCACATAGCAATTGCTAGAAAGATGCAAGTGGGTCCTTATGTTAAGTCACTGTCTCTCCTAGTGCAGGTGGTGTCAGATTATATCTTCCTCCTCTATACCTTATAATTTTATTTCAAATTCCTACTCTTCACACTTAGACTAAATATTTATTTCATGACTATGCAGTTAATCGAGTCTCAAATGAATGATGGAGCACTTCTTTTTAAAGAAGTATCATTTTTACCAAAAAAAAAATATTGAAGACAGAAAAATTCCTTTTAAAATGATATTTGGTTAGTATTCCTTTGGTAACCCCCTTTTCCTCTTAACCTTTTATGCAGATTACCTTAATTCCCACATTCATCGACCCCATATGTGTACAGAAATATTCTCTCTCTCCCTCTCCCTTGGCTTTCCAACTCATTTTAGGAATGTTCTTTTAGGCTATAGGAAAGCATTTTGTGACTAATGGCAGTAAGTAAAGCCTCCATTAAGTTCATTTTATTTCTGTGGAAGCATGGAGGATCCCATGAAAAGCATCCTTTCTCCTTCCCACCCTGTAAGTAAAGTTCTTGTCCTCATGTGAGAAATGAAAGGAGGGGGTATGGTACCATCCAAGAAGCTAACTTAGCATTGCTACTTGGAAGTGCCCCATAGCCTAGATTGTACCCACATCTAATTTGACCGAGTGCGCCAGGTATGACTTCTACGTCTAGAGTACCTAGAAAATGTTGTTAAGTCTACCCAGCAGCAAGCTGAAATATTTTAAGTATGAATACATGTGCTTGTATAATAGAAAAGTAGAAGGTGATTTCATGTATTAACCATGCGGGAAAATCTAAACTAGTTTCAAATATAAGAACTCACTTACCTGGAATATTATAGGAACCTTAGGAACATTATACTTAAATCATGATTACTTTTAAAACTAGTAGAGAGTCTCTACCCCAAAGAGCAATATTGGGAGAAGTTCAAGGATAAAGATCAGAAATACAGGGTTCTAGGCACAAATCCAACACCTATTAGCCCCAACCACACTGAGTCTCAAATTCCTCATCATTAAAATGGAAATAGCAGGCCTTGTCTGCCTACTTCAGAGAGTTTTAGTGGAAATCAAGTGATATAATGCACACATACACACTTTGAATTCTACAGTTCCATGTAAATGGGTTGTTATTAAGTCCTTGGCCTTTGCTAAGATAATTATTTCTTCTTGCTTACCAAAAATTCACTTTTTTCTTTCCTCCTTTGCCACTCATATTCCTTAACAAAACCTTCAGACCCAAAGTTTAGAATCTGTTTCTCTGGAGTCTGTAGTTGGAGGCAATCTCCAGAGCAGCAGAAGTGGTCAGACAGAAAGATAGATAGATAGAGAAATAGAGTAAGAGATAGAGAGATAGATGATAGATAAATAGATAGATGAATAAAAAATACAGTTATCACGTTGTATATTAATAAGTAGCTTGAAATCTTAGAACCCCTTCAAGGTCACTTGGTGCAATAAACTTTTTTAATCTGATAAGTCCTTGATTCAAATAAAATCCAACGTAGAAACTCAATGTGTAAAACAGATGAGAGCAGAGGGACTCCAGCTGACGTGGGCCATGGAACCTGTGGAAGTTACAGGTGCTCTGTGAAAGTCCATTGCACCCAGGACACACTTGAATACTGTTCTTGTTGCTCACAGAGATGAGGGGTGTGTAGGCACAGTCCTTTGTTGATGTTGATAACGCAGAGCCACCAGGCAATGTTGTTCTAAATTTGCTGATCATTAAGGCAAGGGAATAGGCAGTGTGATTTAGAAAGATTTCCATTAAAATGTTCAAATATAAAAAGTATTGTCTTTTGAAGAATGTAGTTCTCATTCTTCTAATAAAAGCAACCTGAAATGCATTACTTTTGATAATGATAGATAAAAATGGCTATAACATTGGTGTGAAATGAAAAAAAAAAAAAAACCAGGAATTGAAAGTGAGAAAGGGAGGTCTACAAAATAGGCTATAACTTTATAATGCTAATGTAGAAGGAATTGGGCTGAAAGTGGAGTTAATCTATAATTTAGAAATGGAGTACTCTGAGGTGAAAAGACATGTTGAATTCCTTCATGAAATGATTGTAAGTGAAGAAAACATGCTTGACAATATGAAAGAAACAGCAGTTTTTATAGGACTGCTTGGTTCTGGATCCAAATTGAAAAAAGTTTGACATTTTAGCTACTTTGATTTGTTGTGTGTGCTGTTTAGCTCAAAGATATCATGTAGCCATTTCTGGGAGGCTTCCTAATTTTCAAAAATTGTGGCTTCATTCCCTGGCTTGAACATTGTGATTTAGAATTGAGCATAATAAAAATTATTAAGGAGAATGTTCAAGTACTAGAATGAGAAGTAATTTCAGAAACATACCTGCCAATATAAATCATATGTGTAATTTTAAAAATTTGTGATGCAAGTTTCAGCATAAGCGAGACACCTCATATGGGTGTATTGATTTCATTTTCTGTTATACAGGACCTTGTCTAGTGGGCTGAAACTCCATTGTCTCCTAAGATAGCAATAAAGAAGTTTTTTAATTGTCTGAACAGAACTCGTTACTAATCTCACAACTAAAACCTACTAGTAAAACCAACTTATAACATGAAAAGGATTTTTTTAAAAACCATTATGAATTAAAAACTAAATATAACAGTGCAGATGATATAAATGCCTTTGGTATTTATAATATTTATTTTTCACATATTTGACACTGGCATATTTGACCATAGGCAAATATTCTCTGATATTCTTGAAGTATCTACATATTATGATTTTAAGAGTTGTAAACTAGACTTTGCTTTGAGTCTTCACCTCTTCTACACCTTAAATTTATGAGATGATAATTTCACATTTATAAATGGTTTTATAATTTAAATAATAATCTGTAAAATATTTTTATCTTTTTAAAATTGTAACTACCTGCTTTTTTATTTTTAAAATTTTTTCACAGGAGAAAGGGTAATGCCAAATGAGGCATTTGGTTTAAAATTCAATAGGCTAACTCTGTTTTCCTTTACCAAAAGTTTCAGACCCAAAGTTTACGTCTATCAGACGTACACAGAAAATCGCAGCTTTGGAGAGGAATAGTCAGCATCACATTGATTGAGGGACGAGACCTCAAGGCAATGGATTCAAATGGGTTGAGTGACCCCTACGTGAAGTTCCGGCTTGGGCACCAGAAGTACAAGAGCAAGGTAACCACATCTCTACTGTGTTCCTCTCAGTATTTGGAAGGCAGTGGTTGGTTAATAGACATGCTTTGGAGAGGAAAACACTAGATGCTTTTTTAAATGCTTAACAGAACTTCTTTTGAACATCATGTCAGCAAAGCAGACCAATAACTGAACTATTGCATTTCTTACTTAATGTGCTCTGTGACCTTGCATAAACTACTTCCTGTCTCAATTTCTTTATCTATAACACAATACTTGAAAGTATCTCTTAAAAAAAAAAAAAGCTGGAACAAACCTATGTTGATGCCTGCACATAAAGTGCTCAAGAGTGTTGGTTACTATTATTATTACAATTAGTATTGGTATCAGTTCTGCAAATAGCATTATTTAACCTCCCGTAAAAATCTTTATACATTACTCTAAAACATTTTCTTCCAACAGACTTGCACCAATGCAGATTGCAAGATTTTTCTCTCTTATTTATTTAGAAAACAAAGGGCCAAATTCCTGCTGACCATACTAGCAGTGTGCCATGGGGCAGGTTACTCCATGCCCCAATTTCCCCATCTGTAAATATGAGAATTAAAATAATAACTACTGGGGAGATCCCTGGGTGGCTCAGCAGTTTCGCGCCTGCCTTTGGCCCAGGCCGCGATCCTGGAGTCCCAAGATTGGGTCCTGCGTTGGGCTCCCAGCATGGAGCCTGCTTCTCCCTCTCCTCTGCCTGTGTCTCTGCCTCTCTCTCTTTCTGTGTCTATCATAAATAAATAAAAAAAGTAAATTAAAAAAATAATAACTACTGAAAATAATAAAGTTATTGAGAAGATTGAATAAATACATGTCATCCACATCGAGGGCTTGTTTTGCACTGCCTTGTCCATAATAAATACTCAATAAATGGTAGTAGCCGAAAGAGTGGCAGCAGTAATAATAAGTATATTGTGTAATAACAATTATATTAGAAATAATAATATATTAAATAATCCTATTAGTATCATTATTGATAGAAGTAATGATAGTAAAGGTCATAGTGGTTATAGCTATATTGGGGGCACAATATATTGGGTTATCTAAATATAACCTTTTTGGGGCACGTGTCTGGCTCAGTCAGAAGAGCAAACAACTCTCAATCTTGAGGTGGTGAGTTTGAGCCCCACATTGGGTGTAGAGGTTACTTAAATAAATAAATAAAAACTTAAAAAAAAAAAAAAAACAAGTACAACCTCTTTAATGGCCAGCTTTGCTGTATGGTAGTCATCACTTGGAACAAGTCATCACATCTGTCTTGTATTAAAAATCACATTCTACTTTGATGGGGATATCTCACTTTGACATTATCATTTTCAAGAACTTTTGATAAATAGCCTACCTGTGTTCCTGCTTGCACTGGAAGTTTTCATCAGTAACCAGGTAGTTAGAAACATCACAGAGCTGATTTGTTAGTAGGCAGTGAGAACTGTTTGCAGACTGATTGGCTACCTTATTGAGTGCCCACATGGAGAGGGAAGGCATCACTTCTGACTTGAAGGAAATCATGTAGGGAAGATAATCCTAAAAAAGGAAACTGAAAAATTAGACTCTTAATGGTCAAATAAGTAAGACAGACCATTCCCCCAAAATACCATAGAAGTGTCTGAGCCCAATAATGAGAGATTTGAATTATCATAGGATCCATCTAGTGCCATCTTTTTTTTTCTTCTATGCACTTAATAACATATTTTAAAGAAACTACTGATTCCAAAAATAGGTACCTATGACCACTTCTATCTTGTCCTTTATCAATTAACATCATTTCCCTGTTCTGGTAGGCTTAAAACATTACTTATTTTTATAGTTCTGCTCTTTAGGTATGAAATATGAAACCCAGCTATGGACACGTGTCTCTCTTTGCTCTTTCTTTCCATGATATATTGCTGATTAATTTCAGATTATGAACTTTAAAAATTGTGATTCATTTGTATTACCTTTGCACATAACATACTTCATTGCTTTCAAAGTCTTTACATCTGAAGATCTCGGTCTCTTATACATTCAAAAGAGAAAAGGCCACTGTCTGACCTCTTGCTAAAAAGAAAGACTAGGGAAACAAATATGAATGTTTTTTAATCCACTGGTGAATGAAATTTCAAAGCACATCAGTATGAGTCACTTTATTCATTGATATCTTATCTGGATTATGTGTGGTTACAAAATTGCACTTCTGATATCTATCTTGTATTTGCAACGTAGAGATTATACACACACATTCGTATTAATTCACAAACATTTTTGACATATTGTTTTGGGGAAAGAGACCCGAAACTTTAATCAAAGACCTGAGTCACAGTCTAGATACTGTAACATCAGTGACATAAATTCTAGGTCTCATTTTCTCCAGATATAAAATGAGGATGAAACATCAATGCTATAATTCTAATATAAATGTTTGCCTGACCAACCCAAAGTTACTTTCTGTTTCCTCCTACTCCCATAGATCTTCACTGTGTAGTTTTTATTCATGTATTCGGCTCAGAATTCTCATGTGTGTGGGGAATAAAGGGGGAAAAAACCCTGGAAATCCACATCTTCCATTATTATGAAATGACAGACTGCAAGTTATGTCTTTGTGCATTAACTGGTTATGTAAAATAAATGCTAGTATCTAAGTGAGCTATTTCACTTATAGACTATTTGCCTTTTCTGTATAATTCATATGTCTCATCTCTTATTCAAGATGATGAAGGGGTGCTCTTTGGTTTTCAGGACATATCCTTGAGGGTTCCTTCAGATGATAGGCATTAAAGATGCTAGAGATTTAATGACTCATTTCCATCATTTCTGGAACCTTTTGTTCAAATCTCACACATGCTTTTCTAGATAGTACCTTACTTTTTATTTAAGGCCCCAATTTAAAATTTTTTAAATAGCTGATATTAATGAGACAATAATTACTTTTTGGTTTTCCAGATTATGCCAAAAACTTTGAATCCTCAGTGGAGGGAACAATTTGATTTTCATCTCTATGAAGAAAGAGGCGGAATCATTGATATCACTGCTTGGGACAAAGACGCTGGGAAAAGGGATGATTTTATCGGCAGGTTTGTATGATCTGGTATTTTTGGTTCACTCTAGAGAGGGTGAATGTTGTTAAAAGGATCTGGTTATTGTCATGATCTTTACCCTTTTGAAGGAAGGGATCTGACCATGGTAAAGCAACGCTTGGGTAAAGTGAAAAAGATTTGAAGACTGACCAGTAGGTGGCAGTTTTGACCAGTTGATGGACAGGCTATATGATTTGATATCTCAAAATTTTCTCTCCAGATGTCAGAACATTGTGTGTGCAAGTTATGGGAATTGAGAAAGAGGAATCTCATTTGATGCAAGATACTTAAACAAGTAAACAAATGGCATAGACCTTGTCTGTAAAGGGAGCTGAGATAGTATTACTTTTCACGAAGTATATTGTGAGACCATAAAATGCATTGTTTCCTATAACTCCCTACAAGGTAGAGAATCTTTATAATCTCTTAGGAGTTCATAAATCTGTAGAGTTCTCGAGTTTTAGTGATGGAAACATGTAAGTGAGGCAGATCCATGTCAGTCTAAGAATACAGGGAAGAAAGGAGTATTTTGAGGCTTAATGACATCTCTCCACAAAGACAAGGTTATTTTGAGTGGCTGCTTGAATTATATGAATTATTTTCTTGCTTTGAAACCTATTTCTATGTTTTGATATGTATATGCCTTTGTAATAAAACACAATGAACCCCTCCAATACTAAAGTAAAGCATGGTGTACAAAATAATTTGTTAGTTTAGAATAGTCTTAACTTCACTGTAGTTCACATGAATTCCAGGTCCCTAAACAACCAACCTGAAGAAATGCATACATACTAATAATAATCAAGGGGATTTCATGCTAGAAAAGCAAGAACAGGAATCCATCCCAACATGTTTATCTCCTTGTTTTTTTGTTGTTGTTGTTATTCTGATATATATATTAAACAATAGTTTTCTTTATAGGATCATACAGGGAGAGGTTAAAGATTAGCTTCTTTTAACCCATGATGTTTTACTTATAAGACAAAATGGAAAAAAAAAAACTATTGTAACCTAAAACTGTGTTATATTTCAGCCCATTTAAAAGGACAGGCCTTCTGTGCATATTTTTTCCCTCTAGAAAAACACTATTTTCAGAGTTTCCTTCAAGTTCCATCTTGTTCTCCTGGGGATGCATCATCAGTTTAAGTAGCTTAAGTATACATCTGTTAATACACTGAATACATTTCGTTATGATTGTATGTCTATGTTTCTGTCTCCCTCAACATGCTATGAGCTCATTCAAGTAGGTGCTGTCGAGATGTTCCTTGAATAATTAATTAGTTTTCATAATTTATAGCAACATTAGCCATATTTGGTAACCATAAGAGAATCAGAAGGACTGTCAGGTGTAACTTGCTACCTCAGTCTCCTTACTTTACATTCATTCTTTCTTATATTAGTAAGATAAGGAAATAATTGCTACAATGTGCTGCCTTCCTGTACTTCTGGGTCCATATCGCATGAAGTACATCTTCTCCCATTTCCTATTGTTTTCCCATAATAACAGAAGTCCTTTTATGTATTTTTTTCTTTGAAAATAATTTCCAAATTTGGAAATTATGACAGTTTCTCAGACCATCTGGTACTGATCTTTCCCTTTTCCTCACCTGATAATATTATGAATTTTTCAAGGGCATGACTAATTATATTATGGAAATGGTTGACAGAGAGGTGGACCTGTTTATCCCATCTCACCTTATTTCTCTGGGTTTATCCATAGTTCGGCAAGTTTTGAGAGAGCAGTAACAGCTGGCTGATCTGAAGAAAATAGGGGTTGTTCTAGACAACTGAGGGAGCTAAGGAAGTCTTACAAAATTTGAGAGAGAAGAAAACCATTTTTGGAACTTTGTAGTTGGTGAGCATGTGGAGGTGCTAGGCAAGTGGTGTGCCTGAGTGGGAATGGAAGCTTTGTGCCCTTTTCCCCATACCTTGCCTGGGTATCTCTTCCATCTGGCTGTTCCCGAATTATCTCCCTTTATAATAAACTAGTAATGTGGTTGGATGTGTATTCTCCCTTTTATTTTTTCTAGATGTTGGAGGTGTTACTGCCTACGTATAGTTTCTGGGCTTTGCCTAGATTGTTAGACAAGTTGTTTATATTCATGGTTATTACACAGGAGAACCCAGCAAGCAGAATCAAGGAGCCCTGGGCCCTATCACCTGCGTTATGATGATGGGTACAACTTTATGCTCTGCTTTCCAGTATCTTGGTTGTATTAAAACTGACTTGGGTGATGAGTTCAAATGCTACCACTAAAGAGTTAATAGGGGTTTTTTAAACTCCTTCATTTTGAATGACTGACTTTTATTTCAAGTTACATTTTTCTCTAAATATAATAAAAACTTACCTGGCATCAGCCTCACTTTTTGAAAAATCCTTTTTTGGTCATATGCCCAAACATAATGGCTTATAAAAGCAATTTGAGCCAAAAAAACCTTAAGATGCACAAGAGTACAGGTGTAGATAAGATGACTCCTAGGACAGCTTTGGACTATGAGTTAAAGCCCCTTTATATAATAAAGGGAGTTACTATAAAATTTTGAAGTAATAACAAATGTTCAGTAAAACCTTTTTGTACACTAACTGCTAATTTAACCAAGATGCCTGTTGCAGAACAAGGAAATGACTATGGTAAATAATTTCAAATCTATTCAGTGTCCAGATATCACTAGAAATGCTAGATTCCTAACTTTGTGCCTATTAAATTGTACTTTAAACACATCCTACCACTGAAAAGCAAGGTATTATTGCATCTAAGTGGTAGGCAGAGTAAAGTGTTTCTGTGAAGTTTGGGTGGTAATGGTGGAAATAATGTAGATTGTAATAGAATTCCTTGGTTCCTAGAGCAGCGTAGATGAGAATTGACTTCAATTCCATTAAGTGAGAGTTCTAGGAGTAAAGTAGCAAGAGTAAGCTCATTGTGGTCCTCTGCCTTGTTTTGCAAGCTATCATTGCACCATTGCATGTCCTATTAACTTTTTATTATTTGTTTAGAGATATTTTTTACATGTAACTAATGTAAATTTAAGGTGTACAGCAGTTGATTCGATACATTTATATATGCTGATATGATTGTCATTGAAGCTCTAGTAAGCACCTCTATCACATCCCACAATTCTTTTTTGTGTTGAGAATAATTAAGATCTGTCTTTGTTAACTTAAAAATTAGAAAGTATTCTGGAGTTGGCCAGTGGTTGGTGAGTAAATTTAAGTTGGCCATGAAGGATAATACTGTCCCTTCAATAGCTAATTACTTTTTTTTAAGGATACTATCTCAATTCAATCCTAAATATGAGAATGCTTGTATGGATTGGATTATCTACATAGACTAGCCTGTTGTGTTAGAGTTTTGTTATTGTCCCACTTTATTTTCCAGTTTGGGTTCCATATAATGATTTTTGAAAATGTATTTTGTAAAATATGCTCAATAACAGGGTTTTTTGTTTTGTTTTTTTCATTATAAAGACAAGGCTAAAAAAAAAAAAAGACAAGGCTGTGAAGGAAAAGGCCACTTGCAAATTTGGAGTGTTGATATCAAGTGAAAAATATTTAATACTGAACACTACCCGCTGCCATTCTCATTTGAACCCACGCAGTCAGGCTTATGCCCCCAACAATCCACCAGAACTGTTCTTGTCAAGGTCACCTGTGACCACCAAGTTGTTAAATACAACAGCTAATTTTCAACCTTCATCTTACCTGACTCAGCAGCAGTACTGGGCTTGGCTGATTGCTTCCTCACCTTAAAACACGTTTGTCACTTGGCTTCAAGAACACCAGATTCTTTGTTTTTCTTTTACCTCATCACCTCTTTCTTCATGGTCTCATTCACAGACTTTTCCTCATCTCCCTCCTGTTTTAGCTCTGGAGAGCCTCAGGGCCCACTCCTTGGGCATCTTCTCCATTTACACCTGCTCCTGTACTGTCTCCATCTACTTTTCTACTTTCCATACTGTCTGAGATTGATAATGACAAATAGCTCCACTTCCTAACCCTTCTCTGAGCTCCAGATTCCAGGCCATCTGCCTGCTAGATATCTCCACTAGAATGTCTGATAGACTTCTCCAGTTTAGCAGGTCCAAAGTCAAATTTCTGACCCTCTATATCCCCAAATCTGCTCTTCCTTTCAAATTCTCCCTTATTTGTTGATAATGCCAAAAAACCATGGAGTCCCATTTGCTTCCTTTCTTTCTCAGACTCTTATCAAATCCATCAGCAACCTACCAACTTTTCCTTCAAAATATACTCAGAATCCACTCCAGTCAGTATCTTGATCTTTATAATTCTGATTAAAGCCAGCATCAGCTTTCATGTGGACAATAGCCATAGCCTCCTGTTCTTCCTTGCACATAACACAAAATAATTTAACTCCTCTGCTCAAAACCCTTCAGTTTTTTCCCATCTTACTCTGGGCAAAACCTGGGTAAATCCTTAGAGTGGCCTATAGTGCCTCACGTGATCTAGCCCTGTTACCACTCTGCCTTGACCTTCTGCTGCTCTGTCCCTCCCTCCCTCTGCCTCTGTTCCAGCCTCTTTGCTCTTCCTCAGGCACACCAGACACCCCCCTACCTCATGACCTTCCCCTCCATCTGTAGCGCTCTCTCTTAGGTATCCACCTGGCCTGCTTCTTTACTTTCTTTAGGTCTGTGTTCAAATGTCACATCAGGGTGGGGGGCATCCATACATACAGACCCTATTTTAAATCCAAATCCCCTTTCTTTGACATTCCCTTTCCCCTATCCTGCTCTGCTTTTCTCCATAGAAGTGATCACCATTTGACATGTATGCATTTCACTTACTTATTTTATCATTTGTTTCCCACGAGTGGAATGTAATCTTCATGAGGGCAGAGATTTTTGAGTGTTTTGTTTTTGTTCACTGTCCCACCCCAATGCTTAGAAAACTATATGGCATATGAGAGGTGTTTAGTAAATATTTGCCAGATTTTAACTTAAAGACCTGAAGTTTGATTTAATCCTGGAAATTGTGACTCTTC